AAGTCAAGACAAAACATATATATTACAAATTCGTATGTGGTCGCCTATTATTGTAGTAACACAATTGAAATTGGAAATAACTGCAAAGGTGCACTTAAAATACACATTCTAGTTTATTTCTGTGTAAATGCAAGCATAAGACTAGGGATGGGTAATATATAGCAATATCTATATATTTTAGTTATATCCATATACTAGTCTAATTTATATATGTATTTTTTTTTTTGGAAAACGTACAGTTGAATTACAGTCAATACATAATCAAATTTATATCTATGTTAAGCCATGAATCGTTTTCACATTTGCGTAATTACACAATTGATCGGTTTTTATATATGCTATGCTAATAACGAATACGTTAAAAGTTGGTTATCCAAAAAATAATAATGAATAACAGACTTTTAACATATTCGAAAATAGATATCCGATAAATATGGGCGATATCCAAATTGGTGATGATTTTTGCTGCCATCAATATCCAGAAGAACCCAATAATAGATATCGGAACAATATCCGTCTATCCGAACAGTAATCTAGTATTATCTAATTCTTAAAATTGTTTACTTCATTTCATACTGTATAATTATCTTAAAGCAATGCTGTGAATACCTTTAAAAGGCATGTGCATTAATATTGTATTGTATTTAATGTTTGTTATATATGTTATAATGCAATATACTGTTGGTATTCCTATAAATAAATAAATATCCATATTACCCATGCCTATAAGACTCGTTCAGATCAGGGCATAGAAAAATATATACAAAACTAACATAATTATTAGATTATTCCTGCGGTCTCTCCGGATAGTGCCTGTTATCTCCTGATACTAAGAATTGTTTATAGATCGTATATCTCTGCAAAATTCCTCATTAATTTATAAAATGGCAGAGAGTAGACAGAGATTTTATCAAAGAGTGGCCTTGTACAAATGTCGTTTGCATGAGCACCTCTGTCCTACTCGTGTTTCTAAAGTGAAGCACCTGTATTTGAGCATCTATATTCGTATGGCTGTATTTCAGTTTTAAGGGTAGAATCTTAGATTATATATATAAAGCGTCGAGCCTCAAAAACGGGTCAACTTTTTCTCAGCTAATTGTCAATTTACCTGACTCGTTTTTATATCAGTGTTCTATATACTTACGCACACAATGTACTTTGGCGTATCTATGTTTAATTATTTAATAAATAATATAAGTTTTTACGTATTAAAAAGATGCAAAAATTATAAAACAAACTAAATATAGAAGTTACATAGGAAACATTCATATAGTTATCACGCAAAATTGTTTGAAAAAGTTGACTCGCTGTTCGCGAAGCATTTGTATGGAGACTATCTATATAATCTAAGGGTGGAATATAGTAAAGTTACAGAATATAGAGACATAATACTGTAGTCTCTAAGAATGACAACACATGAAGGATATTATAGCATTCATATCTGTAGACCACGGGTATCACGTTCAATCAGGTCGGCCGTCTGTATCCCATTCTAAGTTGAAACAGGAAAGTCTCGAGCCAATTCCTGTGTTAAATTACTATTACAAATGTTCCAGTTGTGCCAACCCTAGACCAGTGGTATGCTAATGGCGTGGAATTCCGATCCCGTGTCGGTTGATTTAGATATACATCTAGATGGCATTCCTGACACGAACTAGCCGTTTCTTAATACTGGTAATCCTTTTAATATTCCATAAGCTTAAGCGCTGCAGATAGCAAATCCCATATTGGCAAGATATTTTACATAATAATACTCTATTGAAACATACTCAAGGAGTATATCTATAGGACAGAATTTATAATAGTTGTTTGTAAATATTTTCACGATGTTGCGTTGGTACGAGTAGTATTGAAATGATTTCATTTTTCATTTTTAAATGAATTCAGTAAAGCTGTTAAGGCGCTGAGAGGTAACAAGCACACACACTTTCATATTTATAATATAAGTAAAGCTATAATATATCCGCTTACTGAGAAATATTTCTTATTCACTTGAAGACTATTTTAATGTAAAATTTTGAAAGCAAGTACCAAATTAAATAATTATGCACTACACGGTTGAATGTAGTCTTTTTTTAACATTATATACTTTTAATGTATGTAATATCTGTATTCAGGCAAATAAAGTTGTCATTCATTCATTCATTCATTCATTCATCGTGTGGCTTAACATTTTTGAAACTAAGTATTAAATACTCTTTGAATTCTGAATAGAAATTGAAATGTACCTACTTGTAATACATTTAGATTACATCGAGAAACGAGATGCATTTCGTTGACTTCATTTATCGGCAATTTGCTGTATATTTATTTCCTGTCAAGTGAACGACAGATTTATACGTGCAACTGGTGCAGATTCTTTGTGCGTCACTGTTTCGATGCGCGTGCGTTCATCGGTGTCATATGTAGTATAGTTTTGGCGTGTTTTGTTTTGATTTAGTGTTGTCAGCACAAATTTAACGAATGCTTTTGAAATGCCAATGTAAATAAAAATAGTTTGAATGGTATACAAGAAGAAATTTAATTAATATAATAAACTATTATACATATATAATAATATAAACTAAACAATGAATTCACTTGCGTCTGGCTGTCGCTCTTTATATTTCTTTTTCTTAATTCGGTTGTTTTTTTTATGTTTGTTACCTCGTAACTCCGTTAGTTCCAAGCCAATTTCGAAGTCTTTTTTTATTTGAAAGGATATACTTACAGATTGGTTGCCATAGAAGTTATATCAACATCGACATGGTAGTTTAATTTTTAGATAAAAATTACTGGTTTTGTCACAATTGAAGCCGATTTTTTGTGGGACATAATCTTTAATAATTGATAGGTAATTGTTACATGCGTAAGACAGGAAGTATGTATGTAACCAGGGACTGTCTCTGTTCTTATATACCTACATTTCTTTCACCATTACTTCCGAAGACTGTTGGACTACTGTCAGACAAAGTATTTGTACTTACTTGTTTTTTTTTTTATTTTTTAATGGATACAAATGGAATGGTCCTGCCTGCCTGCATTATCGGTATACGCTGGCGGGGCACCAGTGATAAATGATAAGTAAAAATGAAAGCAGGTCAGTTAGCTCATCGTGAAGAAATCATAGAGGATTAACCACAATGGTTTCCAGGAGAAACCGCGTAAAGGTCGACCTGATAAGAAGTATTGTTAGCAATGGGCTGTTAGGACCCATTACTTCTACCCTTTTCCCCTCTGTATTTACCTATTAAAATTAAAAGTTATTTAAATAATAACATATTACAATTGATTAAAGAATCATAAATAACTTATAAACAAGTAGGTTCTTGTATAAATACATTAAATAATATTTAAATAATTACCAAGCTTATATATATATATATATATATATAGTATAAAAGCCGGGCTTCATACTATATAGCATTCTCTCCCAGACTATCTATGACAAAAAATAAATGAAATTATGCAGTGAATAAATTGAAAATTGTTACAGATGTGAATGACGTACAAATCACACAAGATAGGTTCAATGGAGCACTACTGCATATTAAACATTATTTTATATGCTTTAAATGATTTACTGGGTACAGAGGAATAACATCTGAGTCCTCAGGAATGGCAACGCATGGTAGGTATCATGAGCGAAACAGTCTACTCTGTTATGTCCATGGTACTGCTCATGTCTATGGGCGACGGTTGCCACTTTCCATCAGGTGGCAATGTATATAAAAAATATTTATATATTTTTTATATACATTAATAAATGTATATAAATTTATACCCAAGATCAATGTTACTCAAGCGATATAATTTACCGAGTTTCGTTGAACATGGAACGTAAATATCGTTATGATGTGTAACTTATTTGTAACAGCTGTTGACGGTCGGCTATTACTCTCCATGTTTATTGTTCCACGTAATAAACAGGGACATATGCTTCGAATCTACTTAGCTTAATGGAAAATGCATATTTGCATTAATTTAAACGTAGCTTTCAGCAGGAGGTAGCTAAGGTATTACTATACGGTTTTATTTCCACATCAAGTTACAAATATAGGTGTACAGCCAACCTACTTCACACATAAAGGTGCAAATAGGTTCGTACTTGCTTAATGAACGTGTGGGTAGTTTTAAATAAAACCCACTTGATCTTCAAGGTTTACGATATGGAAACCTATAATTTAAAAAATATAAATTCTGTCGTGACGTCTATAGTTAACTCTATACAGGTGGTAACCCAAATACAGTACCTCTGATAGTATTAGCCGAGGTTTTTGTATTGAAACATAATTTTTGGTATTTTATTTTTTGTATTGTTTTTGTATTTAATTATGATGGAAAAAGACTCCAATTATTGGTAGTATTTGATATAACATGTCACATTACGAGTGATGAGCGAAAATTCCTTCCATCAGCATTTTTAAATCGATTGCTATTACAAAGTTATTAATGTCCGAGATGTGTCTCTGTATTATTGATTTTACTAACGTTACAATTTTACGAGATTGCCTGATCAGCAATGGTCTGATCACTATGTCAATTTTATATTCTGTTTTTTTTTAATATTAATACCCGCCCACCATGTAGTTTTTATTATAACAAATTGTGATTTGTTAATTAATCTTTGTCGGGTGCCCACGATACAAGTTCCCCTAGTGTGGGGCCCATTGTATCTTGTGTTTGTAACTTTGTGTTTTTGTCAAATAATAAATTTCTATTCTATTTCTATATTCGTTGTATGATTCATCATAATACAAGGAATTGAAGCTTGAGGACCTGGCGATTGGTGTGATCGTAAGCGTATTCAGGTGGGAGGAGGAGGCACTCCAAATTTTATAACACCCATCCTAGATTTCAAGCGACGCTTTCGAGCTTTGCGCAAAAGTGTAGTTGAAAGATACACCTTATTAAGGGGAAAAATGGACTACCCTGGAAAAAAAACTTAAATATTCCAATGAGTGTGATTATATGGCAATTATAACTTTTATTAATAATAGATATATTTTCCACGTTTTCAGGTAACCCGAACGACAAGATACTCTACGGACGACCGAATAAACGTCGCAGCGCGTCCTTCCCAGCGCCACGGTCGTTGGACCGCCGCCACTCGCTACGGATCTTCGGCTCCTCCAGCAAGTACCTGCAGCGGTGCGCCTCCACCCGCAGCCTACACCACAAGCACGCCAACACGACTGACAGCTCGTCATCCACCGATTACCCGCCGAGCGTCGAATCCGCGTCACCTAGTGAGTAAAATACTACCTAGCAAGTACTGTACATCGATGCATCTAAATCCATGGTTCTTTTCCATTATTTGTAGCTCACCAGAAATGCTCAAAAGTTTGAATAGCCCATCTGACGAAATAATCAAAAGACTTCCCTTGTAAACATGAAAGTTGCTTAGAAAGATCAAGGAATATGCTGTGATCTCCATGGCACTTCTTAATTGTTAGCTTGTCCTAATCCAAAGATTAAAGATATTTATATACCTCTACCCTAAAGATATTATTATACCTTTGCAACAATGCTTGCACTAATAATGTATCTTAAATAATGCCGAAATACTGTTTCGTGATGGAAGTAGGTAATGTAGCTGACGATTTTATAAAACTTTCCTAAATATAAATATGCCACAAAGTTTACTTGCTTATAACAGCTACCCTTGATTTCATCGTCACACAAAATCTTTCAGCTTTAAAAAACCAAAAAGAATTTGGACTACTAAACTGGTGAATGTTTCACTCTGTAGTAAGACTGATCGTGCTGCCCTGGATTTGCCCTGGGTTTGTAGCTATAAATCACACATGAAGGCTACTTTAGTACACCCCAAACAGTAAGTATTTATTGTAAGGTATATCTGTCGCGTTATTAGGTTACGATACCTATCTGCTGCGTTATTAAATATGAAATTCTCTCCCCGTCCACCTTTTTTTACAATCTCCAGGTTTTTTTTTATATACAATTTAGAATGGTAAAGAAGCTGACGGCCCACCTGATGGAAAGTGGTAACCGTCGCCTATAGACATGAGCAGTACCATGAACATAACAGACTATACTGTTTCGCCCATGGTACCCCCCATGCGTTGCCATTCCTGAGGACTCAGGTGTTATCCTCCGTACCCAGTAAATTCACACCATATCCCACCCTTCAAACCAAAACACAGCCATGCAAACACAACTGCTTTACGGTTGAAACACGAATGAGACAAAGGTAGCCAAGCAATCGACTTTTGTACAAAGTCTCCCTCAGGTATTTCAAGCGGGATGTAAATAAGCACATACGCAGGCAGACAAAGTGAGATTAACACACACTGTGTTAGCCAATTACTGAGTTGGTGATATTCATTTTTGGTCCCAACTACCCGCTTACTAATAAAAGTGGTGTGGTCATTTTGATCTGGTATTATAAAAAAAAAAAAAAAGCAGATCCTCAGATATATGACACTTAGGTATGTAGGTATAATAGATAAATATCACCAAAATTATAATATTGTATCCTAAATTTACTAAGTAGTTTTAATTTACTATTGAATGTTGGTACTAAAATTAGTTCTTTTACTGATTATTCTAATTTAAGGATTTTGTTGTGATTTAGTTTTTTTCAGATAAAATGATCTAGTGATGTAGAAACGTGTACTTCGGCTTCTTAATCGGTTTGAAACTGAGATTTCTGAATTTTACGTTATATTCAATTAATTTTATATTAGCTATTTAGGTTTTTGGTAATGCTCTTGCCTAATGCCTTGTCTAATAAATCTTGTTTGATAGTACTTGTTTTTTTTTTTATCTAGTTATACATAATCACATAAATTCTTTTTGCAGAGAAAGTGTCCCTGTTGTCCCGCTTATTCAGACGAAGCGGCCGCAGCAAGCAGACTCGAGCGATGAGCACCTTCTCTGCGCAGTTCCCGCCCACCGAGTGGTTTAATTCTAAAGCGGTGCATCTGCATTGCGTCGCTACACAGACCAACTCAAAGGTATTACATGAGATTCATACCTATTTTCAATCGATGTAAATATTAACAAATTTTACCTAAAGTTGAAGATTTCGAAACAATTTTTATTGAAAACAACTGTCAATTACACTATATTTATCCTTAATGATATAACAAACGTGAAAGTGAATTATTTGTATATTATTGGTGCCTTAATTATATTAATGAATATGAATAAATGAAATTTGGCATGTACATCATACAATAAGTCAAGTACATGAAGGCAAATATAGGGTACCTAACTACTCACAAGGCTAGTTATTAAGATACATATTTCTTTTTGTTACAGGAGTCCTTGCAGAGTCAGACATCTTTCGTGTCATCGTATTATGACGGTTCTGAAATTAGTAATCGATCTTCGACACTGCCACGTCGTCACAAGAGGCACCTATCCACCGAATCAGGCCTAGCTGGCTCCGTCCATTACGATCACTCGCCGGTCAGGCAATCCAGTCCCAGTTCAGGAAGTCTGCCGCGGTCAACATTAAGTAGAAGCTCTACAAACAAGACCATTTTAGATCACTTTGGATCACCACAACGAAACAGCGAACCAAAATTAAGAGAGAGCCCAAATGGTAGCCTAAGGAGGATGGACTATTCCGATCATATAATGTCCACTAGTGGTCCCTCGAGTTTAGAAAGCACAATCACGCATCGTACACCGAGAAAAGACATCAACAAAAACGGCCATACTGATCAAAATTCACCAATGAAGAGGAGCTATCATACGAGCGGTAGTAGTGGTCATTCAAGTCTAGAATCGCACATATCAGATCGCACATTAAAACCTTCACCTAGTCATAACAACACTAATGGAACACCAGGCCTAAGCAGAGCTCAATCTCTCGTGAAAGTACAGAGTCTACAGAGCTCGCCGAAAAGCCTCCACAAATATAGAAATAAACCACCTATGGTAGGTGGAGAAACGGTAAAAAACAATAAAAGCACGTCACCCAAAAGTACACCAAAAAACTGTCCACCCACACCCAAAAAAACCGCAACCCCTCTGCATAAAGCCCTGGGATCCAAAGCAGAAAACCCTTCGACTACTATGCTAGCAAGCTCTAATTCTAACAATTCGATCACACTAAAAGTTACCACGAATACCATGTCGCAAAGTGGTGGTGGCACTAACACCAAAGTTTATGTACAAAATTCACCTGTCAGATCTGTTATCACATTTGAAAATGGTAAAGTAACTGACACCAGTAACGGAAGCAATATTTACATTATAAATGATGACAGGCAAGTTGTGTCAGTATCTCAAAACGGTGCCAACAATCATACAGCAAAAAATCCTACTGAAACATCTTTTGACGTTTGTGTTGAAAAAAATAAACAAGCTTACCAAGAGCCTGAGCCCATTAAAGTACAAGAAAATAAATTTAATAAGAATTCAATAAACGATACGGGTATGAATAATAATCGTAAACTTTCTTTGCAAATAGGTGGAGCAACTAATAACAACAGTTTTATATACAAGAATCAGTTGAATAATACTAACGAGGTCGCCTCCAATCCAACTTCACCAGCAATACATAACAACATACACAATTTGGAAACGACTACCAATAGTAACCCATCCACTCCTACCAAAAGTTATGATAACATCATAGGATCTTTGGGTAGTTTAAGATACCAAAAGAATGCATTGTCATCAGCAAACAGCGGAATACAAACAAATATAAATTCGAATAGTGAGTTAAAAAGTGTAGACTTATTGAAGAAAGCAGCGGCATTGCAAATGTTGAATGGTCTACCGAATGTAAACAACAGGATGAGCTCCGATTCCATAGCGAATCTATTAACGAAAGCGATAGACCAGAAACCGACAGTATTAGGATCAGAACCGAATTTGGCGTTAAAAAACCAAGAGCCAATAAAAGATATTAACACATCTACAGAGAAAATTAACAGTTTGGAAAATAAACAAAAGAGGTATAGTTTAAGCCAAGATAGCAAGAAAGATAATCAAGATTTTTATAATTTCCCAAGCTTAAGTGACTTAAGCTTTAATTTTACTAGTTTAGCAGCTCAGAAAATATTAAAAGGGGTCAGTATAAATAGTGTTGATACACTAGTAGAGCTTAATATGGCTGCAAATAATACTGAAAAACGAAACAATCGCGAAGTCGCGGCCGTTTGTACGGATTTTGGCCTTGTATAGTACTTATAATATATGTTTAAATGTACAATAGTAGCGTTAACCTTGTACAATTTAAGGTAGTTGTATAACTTATTCATAACTATTATATAACATTCTTTATTACATATTAGTTCGAATCTTGTAATCGATAAGATTTTATACTCCCAACTTATCGAGTTATCTCCTAATATCATTGTATCCTTCTAAATAATTTGTTTGTCATTACTAACTTATCATCGAAAATACCAATATAGGAATATGTAGTGATATGCATAAAACATGTTATCCGTAATACATATTCAGAAAATTCATAGTTTGTAGCTCACTTTAATTGTAATGTGACAATAAAGACCATACCAAATTATGGAGGAGTGGCCTAATGTATGGAAATATAGTGCCTAAAACGATCGTGACAAGATCACTTTTCGAATTGTGTAGCCATATCTAATATCCCATTTCACTAGAATATAAATAATAAATGTTTAGATATTGTAACCAATTTCAAAGACTTTCTTGGGCACAACTTAATGGCAAATAAATGTCTGCCTGAACTTAAAGAGGCCGTCGTACAATTCTAGCCTAACTACTGAATATAATTCAAAGTAATATCTATGTAAAACACATAGGATAGTATAGAATTGAACTAATTAAACTACATTCACTGCTTACTATCCGACGCACCGTATACCTAATCACTACTATAATTTTATTGCTATGTATAAGACTAGCTTATTCCATCCGCTACTTTGTACGCATGGATTTCCAAAATAGGAAAATCAATAAATAGATCACTTTTAAATAGTGTATCAAAATAAATCCAATTTTTAAGATAGATCGTCATGCATACAACTGTAGAAACCGCAGCCAATTTGGTGCTGCTTTTGTGTAAAGCCGTAATCATCATCAGGCGGACAAAAAACGGATAGAATTCCTAAAAATTGTTTCTTCACCTTCTGTCTTTTTAAGACCGGTTATATAAATTTTTCTTAAATATGTATGTCTCTTTTACAGATATCGTCCAATTACAGTTTTATTATACTAGTAAGATACCCTATGTTATGGGAAGTAAACTGCCGATGCTCATACATTTGGGGTCAGCCTAAACGACCAAATTCGAATCAATTTAGAAAAAAAAGTTTTTTAGCAAATTTTTAATTACATTATACACGATTTTTAAAAACATAACTGTAGAGCTTAATGTTGAATTTTGGAGCCTTTCTCTGTTGGTTACAACACTCCGGACCCCAGGGTAAGAAATGTAAAAATGGTCCTTCAAAAGTACTTTAAATTCAGTTTAAAAAACCAAACATCGTACTCGAGACGTCATTGTCATGTCACGTATATACACGGGATTTTTTAATTGTATTTTGATACCTACTTATTTATAAAATGTTCTTTACTTGTAGTTTAAGTCCAATTTGATACAAGTAACTTATTTCTCTACGTAAAAAAAATTACATATCGTAACAAAGCGATTTTTAAGTCAGCCAGTAATAATGTCCACGCCTTATGTATGCCTTTTCATGTATATTATTGTATACACTCGTCTACTGCTTAAGGTGCCCAAGATACACATTCTTCTCCCATTAGTAGACCTGACAAACTGAATCTTTTATGCACCCCGCACTACTTTTTGTGCCATCATAATTTCCAGTGAAAAAAGTTGAGTACAAACTAGGATACATACCTACCTATCTCCGCTAACATATTCCATCCACAAATGGGAATTTATAGGAATGTTTGTAAAATGTATGTCATGTTTAAGTGCCATATATAAAACCATAGTATTACGTACGGTGTGAACCAGACAGCGGTAATTGGTATGGAGATCCGTTAAAAACTGTGCTCTGGTATGTAAAAGGGTATTTATTCATTAGAGAACGTATCGAAAGTCATCAATGCATATACTTTAAGTGTTTAGTAACGCCATTAATGTAAAAATGTATTAACAATATAAGTTGATGCTTTATATTTTTGTTTTATTTACCATTCACTGTAGTATTTAATTACCCTCGTATACATTGTTGCTGTTAAAAACAGCAATTATTATATTTATTAAACTATATTTAGCAAACGTTAACAAAAAATGCGATTGACAAAAGAGTGCACATGTAAGGACCTATGTAGATGAAGAATGATGGTATTTACACTCTTGATCTATACTGCACAAACATGTCAAAAACCAGAAAAATATCATTGTCTTTCTAAATTAATGTTATCTGAATATGAATACCTGCACACATACACCCAATAAAACATCCCCATTCCTTTATAAATAGAGGAATAACCTTTTTTTTTTTAAGACAGGGGTAAAAGAATACGTGAATCACCTGATGGTCAGGTGATTACCATCCACCTTGAGTGGTTGCAATGTAAATGCATTACTGGAAGTACTGCATCCCATTAAAATATAACATTAAATTGCATCAAATTTCTCTTTTTCTTTAATGACAATCTAGATACTAAATACTTTAGAAATTTCTATAATGGCCTTTGAAATATAGTTATTGATATATTAATATAAGTCTTTTAAATTCAAACAGGATTATAAAACTTTTAACTTTCCGTTTCTACCCTGTTAGACCAGGTTACTTTAACAGTTAGCCCTGTGGCTAACTGTTAGACTGTGGTTCTGTAACCACAATAATTATACACTTAGTTCTGAAACTAGAAAACCTGAAGCATGCTATGAGAAATCAGACAAGAAATATCTAGATGTACATAAATAAAATAATTACATATTTTATTAATAATCTAAAAATCATCCCAATTAGAATTCATTTTCATCATTGTATTCATAAATCAGACATCAATGCCTACAAAAGAATTAATAAAATTATTATTTTTTAAGTAAAATATAAAACTTTATTCCATTTGACTTAAGTAACAAAATTCTGGTAAAACTGATATAAACATTAAACTAAGTAATTGCTAAGAGCAAGTAATAGTACTGTGCTCCATAGCATCTGCTTGGACTGGCTCGGTCTCTGTGTGACTCTTAATTGTATTTAACCAATCATCAGTCGGGTTTATTTTTTTCACTTCCTCTGAACAATCACTCTTCTCATCCTCCCCAACATTTTCAGAACTATCCACTTCATCATTCTCTGTACTATTTACACTAACATCACAGGATTTTAAAGGGGACACAATTGAATCTAAGTTTCTAAATTTTTTCGATACATCTCCTGCCTTTATTTGGACGTAGCAAACACAATTCTCTGTTCTAGTCACTTCCTTAAGAGCAGCTTCTTCTATAGCCTCTAGCTCATTAATATCCTCATCCTTCGTCAATTCTTCAATAGTTTTATATGAATACATGTGATCGTCGTTAGGACTAACATAGTCTTCTAATGTAAAAGTATTACTATCAAAATTAAGCTTTTCAAAATCGATTACACCGTAATTACTTATACTATTTAATAACGTGGACTCATTGGCGTAACATACTTGTACGTTTTGAACACAATTCCTTTTTAAGTCTTTATCATCTTGGCATTGTTTACGTATAGCGTCTAGTTGCCTCAACGTCTTCAATTCTCTGGCTTTTAGAGCTGCATATAAGCGAGCGAAGGACTTTCTTACTGTAGATTTTAACTGAAAATATTATGTTCCATTAATACAAAAACAAAAATTATAGAATTATAAAAAATTCCATACAAAACACTAACATTTTCAATATTCTTGTCGAAATCATCTGAATCACTCGCCATGTTTACGTTGTTTGACAGAATAGAAGAATGTTGCCATACTAAATAGTAATTTTCTAATTATTTCTACCAAGATAAGATAAAAATTATCTACGTTAACTGCTATAGGTTTTTTTAATGGGTGATGATGGAATGGTATCCCCGCTTGCGCTATTTGTATACACTGTCAGGACACCAGTGAGTGATGATAGGTGAGGATGAAAAGACAGGTCAGTTAACCCATCGCGATGAATATAATTGGAATTCAGCACAATCGATGGTTTCCAGCGGGGACCACGTAGAAGTCGACCTGGTTGGGTATATTGCTAGCAATGGGGCCCTTAGCCTCCAATATTAACAATCTCTCCCCCACCCCAAATTTCAGTGGGGAGGAAGGGATTGTCTATCTTCACCATTTTCTAGGGAAGAAATTGTTAGTAATGCGAACTATCAGTCTCATGGCCAACAATATACTCTGTCGAGTTGACCTCCACGCGGTTCCCCCTTGAAAACATCATGGTTAATTCTAATAGAATTCGTCACGATGGGCTAACTGACCTGCTTTTTCATTCTCGCCTATCATCCTTTACTGGTGGCCTATCAGCGTATACTATTAGCGCAAACGGGATACCATTCTATTATCATCCTAGATGATTCATCCATAATTGAATTTCGCACCATTTCTGAGTCAATTTTAAACATATCGCATTAAAACTTATTCCTTTTATCTCAAAAACTATTTTTTTATAATAGAATTATTATATCAATTTTTTTTAAATAGTTTCCACGTACAGATTTCGTCTAACAATAATTTTATTCTATAAGTATGATATTGTTACGTTGATGATGTTGCTAGTACAAAGATCCAAATTTATGAATTTGATACATGATTGCTTGAGGTTTGAAAATTAATTTTGATTGCTTATGTCAATCATATTTTATTTAGATATTTCTATTAGTTATATCGCTAATAGAAATGTGAATAATCTAGGGGTGTTAAACTATGAACTCATAAAACTATACCTATGTGTATAATGGAATAAAAGGAATAAAAAATGCTAAGCTTAATCCCATTTTCTCGTTTGCATTGCCAGAAAAAGAGCTTACGTAATTATCGTAATAGTACGTTTTAAAACAAATGTTACCATAATCTATAAAATAACGGAATTAATCTGCTTCATTTCATCATTCATTCCTTAAACATATAGTACTAAAGTACTGTATGGACACTATCTGCCGCCCGTTGTGATTTGAGTTCAACCACTCTCAAATACATGTCAGCACCCAAATTCTACGCTAATCGTAACTACAGACGGACACATTATCATCTGTAGAGACGTTATTTTTTTCTGCAATTGCGATAAGCACAATTTTTTATGATGTATATATGGTGTGGTATTACGTACTGACAAACTAGAAATATAAACACAAAAAAAACAAGAAAAGACAATGGTTACATTAATGTGTGTAGGTATGGTGTAAATGTGTGTATATAACTGTTTTGAATTTATTTATATGAAATTTAAGTGGCAAAAATATACATACTTGATATAATTTTAATTCAGTTCATTCAGAAAAATATTAAGATTTAAATTATATAAGTTTTTCTTCCAATTCTTGTACAAAATATTTCTAATCATTCTATGATTACGTAAAAAATGTTTAATTTTGATATAATTTTTATACATGCATACATTGCATTATATAATTATTAGTGCACCGAGTTTATTTTTCAATTTAACCATACAATATAATTTCTCCTATATACTGAGTAGTGACTATACAGTAACTTTATTCACACGCACATGAACAATAAAATAGACCTGTTTTGCTGAAGCATTTGTATGGAGAGTATATATATAATCTAAAATATATACATATTTATTTGTTTTCAAGTCATATTCACATCATACATTCTTTTCTGGCGAATTTAAAATCAATCAAATAAAAATTACAAGATATCTGTTACATAAGTTCACAGAAAATAACTTTATGGACGTAGTTTAGGATTTAGTCATAAATTTTGCAAATTTTTTAATAAAACCAAAACTTATCAAATTGGTTAAAATTAAAATTTCTGGTATTAACTATTGATTATTTTATTTTTGAATTACTTGTAGTTGCTCCAATTAAAATGTAAAGGATTTAGAAGACATAGAGAACGGTCTTATGATACAATAAATTTACATTTAATAAAAGATATCTTGAAGGGTTTATATGACTTTTTATTAATTAAATATAGTTTAAGATTATACATTTGTAGAGATGGGCAATCCACCTGGGTGGGTTTAAAGTCTGGTGGGTAAAAACCGGGTGTTTTGGGTTTATTGGGTTTAAACCCCATAAACACCCAAATTTTTGGGTGTTTATGATTTTGTACTTCATCATCGTCATCTCAGCCGCAAGACGTCCACTATACTGGACATAGACAATATTATTATGCAGCCTACAGAATAAAAAACTTTTAATTTGATTTTGAGTTTATTAAGAAAGAGATGAAAGTAAAATGTAAAACTACAGTCAATCACTGTCAGATTCAGAGTTATTACAAGCGATGAATTGTATAGGTTCGATAGGCTCTATTTCGTCTAAACTGTTATGTTCATTTACTTGCTCAATGAAAGCTTCTAAGGTATTTTCTTCATTAAACTGAATGTCCTCGCATTCAGCTTTATGTTTAAGATTCCAGTTATAACAAATGAATGAAATTTTTTCAGTTCTTTCAGTTGTAAGTCGATTTCTTTTGTTATTATGTATGTAGCCTTGGATACTAAAGGAACGCTCAGTGGCTGCCGAAGTACAGGGAGCTGATAGAATACGAATCGCTACTTTGCTTAACTCAGTGGAACCACAAATACCTTTCCACCATATTAGGGGCTCAATGCTATCTAATGAGCTCCATACAAATCCTCTGGCCCAAAAGTTTTCTTTAGCTTTATAACACGCCAAATCTGCCATTACATTTGACAAACTTAAGTGTTGGCTTAAATTGTAGATAAACTCCATACCCTTAAGTTCTTCCTCTTGAGTAAGTTCGACTCCTAGAGTCCTGGGGTCTAGAATATATGCTGCAAAATGTATTGGCCTCATTGCCATATTGCATCTTGAAGATACTGATGTTAGAATCTGCTGTTTGCTTTCTTCGCTCAATGTCGAAATCTCATTTAATGCAAAACGTATCTTAGCTTGTACATCTCTAAATGTAATGTATGTGCGATGCAAACGATTCTGGTCGCTCTCTAAGTAAAATATGCTTTCAGTGACTGGTTCCAAAATACTTATACATTCCCCTGTCTTCGTCCAGAAATCATCACTTAGAATTAAATCTTTAATATCTCTTGAAATTACCACATCTTCTCTAACTGTTAATATTTGCAAAGCTATCTTATTTGCTTTCAAACTTTTTAACGAAGTAACATGACTTCCCCATCTTGTAGCACAAGGCAATTTTAGTGTTTGTGTAGAATCTTCACCCTGCCTTGATTTTATCAACAAGGAACTTAATCGTTGACTCCTTTTAACAGTTTTTATTATATTTATGGCTTGCATAATAAACACAGTTACTTCTTGTATCTTTACAATATCTTGGCACAACAAGTTAAGGATATGTGCACAGCAACCGAGAGGAACAACATGTGGATATTTGAGTTTTGTTAATTCGAATGCCTTTTGTATATTTCTAGCGTTATCGCCAATAAGTACAAGAAACTTATTTGCTCCATACACTTTCATTACTTTTTCAACTTCTTGGCTAAGGTATTCACTAGTGTGAGGATTACTTTCTGTATTCAAACTTTTAACGTATGCAGGTTGAGGTTTTGATATAAGAAAGTTTATTATTCCTTCATTTCTTAAATTAGACCAGCCATCGCACTGAAGGTGTAAGTAACTACAAGCATTTAGTTCCTCATTTAACTCAAAACGCATTTCTCTATATATTTTATCTAAGTATTTTGTCGCTAAAGCTTTACGTGAAGGTATTTTAAATTTTGGTTGCAATTTTTCGAAAAATTGTATCCATAAAGGATGTTGCACCATCGATAATGGCGTCCCTGTTACAAATATAGCTCTCGCTAATTCTGTTTTTATATGATCATCGGTGTCTTGAAACTCAGCATTTATTGTAGTGTTAGCAGACGACGAGGGGCTTATAAAAGAATCATTTGTCTCTATCTCTGACAGTCCAGACATTTTGGTTTTGGACGAGCTATCTTTTATAAGTTTCATAGAGTCTTTTAATGTTTCTGGAGATTTTGGACAAGTGATAAGATGTTGAAGCATTTTGGCAGCATTACTGAATTTGTAGACCTTATTACAAAGCTTGCAAGAAACAGACTTGTTTGGTAAAGTACGGTAGTGCTCCCATATGCGTAAATCTTTAGGTCTCCCCATTGAACCTAAAAAAATGAACGATGATTAGTTGGTCTGACGAAAATTCAACAATAGAGTGCCTATTTTTTTACAATGATTATTTCTTGTTATTTACAATAAATTTATTAAAAAAATAATAAAATAAATACAAAAAACCTTTGTAAAATTACATCTCCTCGGAGGATTAAACGCAGACGCTAGTTTATTATCGTATTGTTCTGTATTTTTCTCAGCAACTTCTTTAATTCGATTAGGTACTTACGCATATTATGTTAAAAATAAATATCTAGTACACATCTTAGGCTATCCACCATTATTATCCAATGACGACTCTCAGCTAACTATGCACTATCATCCAAAATAAACGTGTATGGAAAATTTTATCCCAGTCGGTTGAGGATTGAGGATAATTGCATCAACATACGAACATACCTACATACTTTTATTTACATAACGCAAGCTAAATAAAAGCTTGTAATAATACATCTAATTTTAAGTTAAAATTGTTAAGTGATCATGATATAATTGTATCATTCAAAAATCCACTTACCTTTAATTATTTCTTGTTAAGTATAAATATTATTTCAAATCTGCTCCCTTAATATGCACTTTTTTACTGCTTTTCCTACCTAACACGTTACCAGGAAGTCACGTTACCAGAGTCAGAGTAATAGTGAACACGTTTGACAGTGATTGTCGTCGCCTCATATTCAGCGTCGACGAATAGGGGAATCCCCAGTCATAATGTATTGCATGCGTGGCGGTCTTACTTCAAATCCATAAACAAAGAGATAATTACAGAACTCGATACTAGATGGCGCTGTTTTTGTTTGAAGAAAGTTTGCGGGCTAAAATACATAGAATTTCATCAATGACTTCCACAAAGAACAACATTTCTGTTTTTTCTAAGTCCGTATCTCTTCCGTATATTTCATAAGATATAAGCTTGGGCTACATTGTTATGCAACGTGATTTTGTCGCTGTCTTGCTAGCAGGGTTGACAGATATACGATTTAAATCGTACTCATACTATTATTTGTCTATTTTTTAATGTACGATCGTAAAGATTATGATCGTAATTCGCACAAAAACATACGACTTTTTGGTTACCTGGCAACATTTTTATTATGAAACGAACATGCTCACATCATTAGTCACATGCAACAATTTATTGGGGATTTCCCCTTCACATCTGGCAGTCCTGCTTGCTAGAATATAGGTAAGTCAGCCACAGTTACTGACGATCGATATTTAAAGGGTATTGTTTTTGTGCTAAATATTTCATAAAAACGTTATTTAATACTTTGTGGATTATTAATTTAGTTGATAATCACTGGAAGTAAAATGGATGCTAATTTGAGAGATCAAGATCTTCGTATAAAACAGTTAATAAAAGAAAATCTACGTAAGTACTCTTTTTATACCTAGGTAGGTAAGGTATAATAAACACAAAAGGTACTTAGATCGCGTGTGTTCGAAGCATTTATTCTAATAAATTTAATTTAAAATTGTAGAAAGAAAAAAATGTCTGCCAAGCCGTAGCCGAAGCCGATCTCCAAATATATTTGGCGATAGTGAGACCCAGTGTCCAGATGATTTACCCAGCGTCGTCGCAACAAAGAAAAAAACGAGGATAAAGTAAAAGAAAATTTACTGAAAGAAGAAACAAACTGTTCTAAATGCTTAATTTATGGAGAAGAGGATAAAAGAAATGAGTATTTCGGACTGTTAGTGGCTCAAGAATTTAAATATATACGGCCATGTGTGCGAACGAGGTGTTATGAAGAAATTTTAAAGTATCTACGGGAAGCAAAAGGCCAACATGTTGATCAACTGCAACATGAAAACACTGAAAATTAATTACTTTCATTTTATTATATATAGATTTTTAAAATTTCCTGAAATATTATTAGTTAACGTTTTATTTAATATTGTAGAATTGATCAATACAATTTATAAAAATAATTTATTGGTATTACTTACATATTTTCAAAAAAATACGTAAAAACCTATTTTTTTGGGTGATTATGGGAGTTTATGGGTGTTTATTGGGTTTTTACCAAAGCACCGGGTTTAAACCCGGTGCTTTGCCCATCTGTATACATTTGACCTTAAAAATAATATTTGATCAATACCATTTTAATATTTTCTACCAAACGAATTATTATTATATAGCAACACTAATCTTAATTGTAAAAAAAAAAAAATCCGTATTGATTTTTCATTTGACAAGTTGTTGTAAAACACCGTCTATTTTTGGCATTTATGGATTGTTAATAATAAATTCATACAATAACTTAAATTGTGAATAAACTGTAGTTCGACTGTCGTGTTTTCGTGTTTTTCACTTTTGCAACCATGAGTGATTTAAGACACCGTCGTGGAGAAGGCGACGGGACTGAAAAAGCGGAAACTGCTGGAGAATCCGATCATGTAAAAATGTTTTTTGTTTATTCTTAGTTGTAACCTGTTCGCTTTCGTGATTAAAAATAATATTTTTGTGTATCTTGTTAGGTGGATTCAGAAGAAGAGAAGGTCTTAGAAGAGAAATATGTGGATGAAATGGCAAAAAACTTGCCACAGGGAACGGATAAAACACCTGAAATTCTTGACTCGGCGTTGTCCGGATTATCTTCTAGGTAAATTTATTTTGTTTTTAGCTTTGTTTTCTAGGTTAGTTGACTACTATATCTTTTAACGTACTTGCACATATTATCTTTAGTGATTCCATTAATTATTACGATTTTATTTATTAACAATAATTATTAAATTTTGATTTAATAAAAATTATGTTTTCTGACAAATTAAAATTTCACATTTGGCTTTATGTGGATGTTTCGTGCAAATGAAATTTTATTATAGCACTAACTGTATTTTGTGGTTTCGCCTGTGGTCTTGACATGATGTTCATTAGCTTACATCTTTCCTCAAGAAATGAATTGTCAAATGCAAAAAAAATTCTAATCCAACTGGTTTGAAGATTAAAATGTTCAAACAAACAAACTCTTCCACTTTATATTATATTACTAATATAGATTACCAGGAAAAAATCCTGTAATAATTAACTAGGTAACCAAATTTTTCTTTCATTTCAATAGGTAACTAAATACCTATGTTTATGCAAATAAATACAATTATTCAAGTCATGTCAGAAAGTCAAGTCAAGTCAATACTTAACTTTCTGACATAATACCAAATCCTTTACAAGATGCACAGAAAGAACTAAGTGCCATATGTCTTATTATCTTTACATGTATCTCTTGTCTCATATAATTTCATAATTCATCTCATCCATGCATACCAGTTCTGGTCGCTTTTGACTCTTCTTTCAAATGAAATACATATTCTTGTATATCAATCCAACTTTTATGTTTTTATGTCTGATTAACTTTTACCTGTAACTTCATTCACTTGACTGAGTTATGTTCATTGAACCAGGGTAAAAAGTAGCCTATGCCCTTGTTTATCCCATATACTATATGTGTATAATTTCATAGCTGTGTGGTCCCGACATTAGGCCACCCCTTCCTTTCCCATGGGTGTTGTATGAAGCAACTAAGGGAGGGCAAAGGATGGCTAGCAGCATTTCTCTTAAAACACATCTAAACCCTAACTGCAATTACATTATTTTTACATTAATCTGTCTGTCAAGCATGACAATTACTGGCAAAACCCCTTAAGAGGGAGGCTTATGTTCACCAGTGGACAGTTAAAAGCTGATATGATGATGGTGATGAAATTCCATGAGGATTGCTTAGGGTGGTAAGTGGTAATAAACAAATAATATTAATAAGGATTTAGTAAATACATCTAAATATTCATAAATTTTATATATTAATCCTTAAATACCTGAAGTTTCAAATTTGATACCGGGGTTATAAATCGCATTGGACGCCTACAATTGATTTTATTTTAATATTTGGCTGTTTACATGTTACCAAAAGTTTTTTTCAAAATAAATATATAAAACTATTGTTTTGATTTTTATACTATTTTTCCCCATTAGTAAACACAGTAAAGGGTACACATATATTTTTTTATTTGATTTAAAAAATCAGGGTTAAAAAACATGATAATATCTTTGTTTTGTAGTTTTGTTATAAAATATTACATCAGCAACTTATTTCTTAATTATATATTTTACAATATATATAAACTTATTTCATAAGATACCTAAGTTTAGTCAGTTCAGATACACTTCCTTAATGTAAGGAAATGTATTTAAATTTATTCTAAAATAATATTTGTGTATATTTTTAGTCTTGATACTGTTAATTAATATACACATATTAATGATATGTAACTGTGTTCTTTGTTAAACATAAATGGTTGTGTAGATGGAAAATTTATTTAAAATGCAAACACATTCTTTATTTTATTCAAATAACATTTGTAACAAGTGACAAGCATATATTTTCATTACTTTATTGAGTACAAGTTGATGTTGAAATATGCAATTAAGTATTAATCACAATTACAGTATATTGTGTCTTTGGAACTGTTCATGTCTAGAGTGGAAGATTACCACTTTCCATCAAGTAAGCTGTCAGCTTGTTTGCCATTCTAAGTTACTAAAAAAATATGTATATTACTTTTGTTATTAGATACACACTTTTAATTTTTTTTTAATGAATTAAAATGTATGCTGACAGCCCACCTGATGAAAAGTTGGGCATGTCTCTTATAGATATGAGCAGCAGGATAGTCATCTCAGAATATACTGTGACATCCTATACAGCTCGATTACAGGTAAGTAATACCACAGTTTACCTGTAATGGTGTCATATAAGGTTTTATGGTACTCTAGAATGTTTATGACATTATTTACATGTAAATGTTTTGCATTACATTTTAAAAAATTATTATGAGTACAAAAAGAAATATTTGTAGTTTAACTTTATTACCATTATTATTTTTAAATGTAGATGGAGAAATTGGGTGATTCGGGGTATCTTCACCTGGTTGATGATTGCGGCTTTTTGTCTCCTGATTTATGGAGGGCCGTTAGCTTTGATGATAACAGTAAGTCATATATATTATTTTTCTATTTTTTTAATAACATATTTTGTGGTTTCATTGTATTTATAATATAGGATTAAATACTCTTTTGTTTTAAATTAAAACTAGGCATATCCTATTTATTTGTTCCATTTATATTTTTTTTTAATTAAATTTAACATCAATCAAGTATCTCATTAGTTACCTTTGGTATTGGTGATCTATAAGACGGGTTATCCTAGTACTGAAACCTGTCTCTCACAAAGATTGTTTTAAATTGTAACCTATGTAACTGTAAGTTTTATTGTTGTTACTTTGTGAGAGAAATAAATATATATTTATTTATATAATATTCAGTTATATAAATATGTATTTATATAACTGAAAATACTTCCATTTTTAGGACAGAGAAACAGAATAAATAAAGTTATTGTATTTTGAAAAATTTTCATATTCAATTTCATGTACTCGCAAAGTATTGACAACTTTTTTTTTTTTTCTTTTATAAAAGTTCCAAAGAAGCATACAGCCCTTCTAAACAGTTCCCATAGCCCATAGACTGTTGCAACATCAGGAGTGTCGCATGCTTGTTGACAGACCTGAAGAAACCTTAACATGTTACTGTTTGTTTTAGGTTTTATGTGTTCAAGTGAAGTGTTTTGAAGAGATCATCAACATTGGCTACGCTGTATACCGGATCCATGGTCTTCCATGGTTCCGTTCACTCTCCTGGTATTTCTTGCTAACTTCCAACTACTTCTTCTATGGAGAGAATCTGATTGATTATTTTGGCGTCGTTATTAATAGAACGGTAAGTTTATTCAGATTTCTCTAAAGGCAACCTAAAATAAGATCTATTTTTCAAAAAGTGGTAAATGTTTAATGAAAGAAACAATATGTTCACGACTATAATCTTTAATGGGGTAGTCAGTTAATATTGTGATCCTGGAATAGACATCTAAAAGTTGCTGTGTGTTTTGTATCTATATTGTTAAAAGTTTCGTAAGCACACATTTTATTTTAATAAGTACCAGTTTAACTTACGTATAATTCGATCGAAGATCGAAAAAGCTGGACTAGTTTCGGAATCAAATCGTGATTCTTAGTCATGAGTGATTGTGACGCAAATACGAGTCTGACTGCGTATCTCGGCCCGCTGAGCGCCATCTATAGGCGATCTTTTTTATATGTTAAAAGATATCATCATCGAGTCAACCCTTAACCGTTTACTGTTGAACACAAGCTTCCCCCTTGGGGAGTTTTGCTAGTAGTTGACATGCTTATCAGGCAGATTGGCAACCGCAGTTTGCATTTAGAGATTTTTTAAGAGGGACTCTACTGGCCATACCTCGCCTTCCCTTAGTCGCCTCTTACTACACCCACGGGAAAAGAAGGGGCGGCCCATTCTATGCCAGGACCACACCCTTATAGATAGATATATGTTAGTATTATCGTATAAAAAAGTAAAGTTACAACTTAGTAAAATAAAAAAAATATACAAACCAAAATTCCTGGGTACCCTATTATCAATCTGTGCGTATCTATATAAATCATTAACAAAATCCTTAATAAGTATTCAAAAATCAATGTTAAATAAACCCTCTTGAGCCAATCAATTGCTAATCTGACAACATACATATTTTTTTATGATTTTTATCACTCGAGCGATAATTGCTGCTGTATTCGTAATATCGTATTTTACCCACTATTAGACGGCAGCAATATTAAATTATTAAATCTAAATTAAACAGCAGCAAAATTGTATCTTTCAAACTAAATCGATAAATTAATCGATAAACTGACAGCTGAAAAAATATTTAACATACTCGTTTTTACACACGAGCCACCCCGTGCCTTATTGCGGCGAAACGACCCGGTTCGTTTGATTTTAAGCCTGTTCTTCGGGTTCGGGTATCAAATACTATTCGTTGATTTGTGGTGTGGTTTAACCCGTGACTTTCAGCGTGACTTAATATTGATCGAGGGTAAAACGCAGTCTGTGTCTCTCCATTCTAATTCTCTAAATACTATGTGTTTACCGAATTTTATGCAATTGGTTTAGCGTTAAAGCTCTAAGAAGTAACAAATAACAGACTCGCTTTCATATTTTATATAATAAATTGTATTATCTAATATAATTTATTATATAAGTAATATATTTCTTTGTAAAATTATTATTATACATAATTTACATTGGAGTCATTAAAAGATAAAATATACAATGGCGGACTTATAAAGGCATCTCTTACAGTAGTATTTTAAAAAACTGAAAGAAAACTATAGAATGTTCAAGGGTACAAACCGTACAACATATAAATATATTAAATATATAATATTATACATTAAAAAGTATAATTCTTGTTGTCCAATTTAATAAACTGTAACTTGACGATCTATGTACATGGGAGATATTAAAGAAAAATTTATGTAAACATGCTAATAAAAGTAATAGAAGACAAAATATTTTTTAGAAATTTTGTCTGCGTATTAGTTCCGGCATCAGGCAAAAACTATTGCACCAAATTGGAAATAGTTTTCCTATGTTTAGCTATCTAAATGTGGTTTATTTCTTTCGTTTTTCTAGTTGGAAATATGTATGTAAGTATGGATACCGATCCGATATCTATATATTGGGTTTCTCTTGACATTTCTGGCCGGAAAAATCTCGTCACTCATTTCCATATCGCCCATATCGGTTGGATATCAATTTTCGAATTTTATTTTTTGGATAAGTCTTTTACATTTTCGTTATTGTACCAGTATATAGATACTGTAACTAAAATATAATTGGAAATATATTCCCTATCCTTATTTCCTAGTTCTGTAATCCCCACGTAGGAAGTGGCACGCAAAAATCTTTATACGAGCTATATTAGTAAGGAGACTTTGTACAAAAGTCGATTGCTTGGGTACCTCTGTCCCATTCGTGTTTCAACCGTGAAGCAGCTGTGTTTGCATGGCTGTGTTTCGGTTTGAAGGGTGGGATATGGCGTGAATTTACTGGGTACAGAGGAATAACACCTGAGTTGGCAGGCAGGCAAGGAATGGCAACGCATGGGGGGTATCATGTGCGAAACAGTATACTCTGTTATGTCCATGGTACTGCTCATGTCTTTAGGCGACGGTTACCACTTTCCATCAGGTGGACTGTCAGCTTGTTTGCCATTCTAAGTTGTATAAAAAAAAAAGGATTTCTAAATATGTTAATTGTGAAAGTTGTTTGATTCGACTAATATTATCGCTGGATAGCGACTTGTTATACCTGTTTCGTTCCACGCTATATGTACGAATATAAATCGAGCTATCTTTGAAATAGTAAAACGATCTCGTACACGGTTCAACCAGTGCACGTGTGTCGGCCCAAGTTCGCAAGTTCATTGATAAAAATCATACGATATATATGTTGCAGTCAAAACTCTTAACCAGTCAAAAGTACTATTGAGTAGCAAAATCAATCAAAAATACTTTTGACTGAATAGGTTGGTCAAACTGCAAATTTGCGGTTTTATTCATGGGTGATAATGGAATGGTAACCACACCCGCGCTATCGGAATACACCGGCGGGGTACCAGTGTAGGATGATAGGTGAGGATGAAGCAGGTCAGTTAGCCCATCGTGACGAATTCAACAAGAGTTGTTCACGACGGTTTCCAGGGGGATCCACGTGGAGGTTTTTTTTTATTTTTTTAATGGGTGATAATGGAATGGTAACCCCACCCGCGCTATCGGAATACACCGGCGGGGTACCAGTGAAGGATGATAGGTGAGGATGAAGCAGTTCAGTTAGCCTATCGCGACAAATTCAACAAGAATTGTTCACGGTGGTTTCCAGGGGGAACCACGTGGAGGTAGACCTATTAGGGCATATTGCTGGCAATAGGGCTGTCAAACTCCGTTACTAACAATCCCTTTCTCCCCGCAAATTTGCGGTAAGGTTAGGTTAGGTACTTTTAACTGTTATTTTAGTCAAAATTATTATTGACTGAAGCATACAGTCAAAAGTACATTTGATCGATTTTGCTAGTCAATAGTACTTTTGACTGGTTAAGAGTTTTGCCTGCAACATATATATTGAAATAATTCTGTATCATTGTTTGATAACACGATAAAACACTAATTTTTTTTATATAGTATATGTTGTATAATATTATTTGTTATATAATAGATTACTGAATTGTAACCGCTGTCGATTTATATACTACATATCATCATCATCACCGTCATCATCATATCTTGTTTTTTTAGGGAATATTAATATATTTTTTGCTATTGGAATACTGAATACTATACTTATGTAATAGTAAATTTGCAGTTTATTTATTTGGTTTAATCTCAAGTTTTTTCTATGAAGATAGAGATAGTGTATAAATATTATAATTTTATGGTATGATAAGTGGTCATCGTCATATCAGGTGTTCGTCTAGGAGGTGAGGTTTTGCAAGTAGTTGCCACGCTTTACAGGCAGGTTGGCAACCATAGTTTTTTTGGTGGGTGAAAATGGAATGGTAACCCCACCCGTGCTAACGGGATACGCTGGCGGAGCATTAGTGAAGGGTGATCGATGATAATGAAAACAGGCCAGTTAGCCCATCATTATGAATTCATCAGGAATTAACCTTGATAGTTTACAGGGGGAACCGCGAGGAGGTCGACCTGGTTGGGTATATTGCTAGCAATGGGATTCTCAGTCTCCGTTACTAACAATCCCTTTCCCCTCTGGCAACCGTAGTTAGGATTTGGTGATATTTTAAGAAGTTTCTTAAACAACTATTACAACCAAGCGTGGCAACTATTGCCAATAAGGGGGGAAGAGGGTTTATTGGGAAGGCCTAGGTTCTTTTTAATGGGTGATAATGGAATGGTAACCCCACCCGCGCTATCGGTATACACCAGCGGGACACCAGTGAAGGATGATAGGTGAGGATGAAGTAGGTTAGTTAGCCTATTGTGACGATTTCAACAAGAATTGTTCACGATGGTTTCCAGAGGGAACCACGTGGAGGCCGACCTAATAGGGCATATTGCTAGCAATGGGGCTGTCAAACTCCTTTGCCAACAATCCCTTTCCCCGAGGCCTAGGTTGAGCAGTGGAAATTGAGAGATAATTTCAGGGTTTTCTACCCGTTGTGTGATCATATTAGATTCTTCACGAGGCAGACAGAACCAATCAGTTTCCTCGACCTAGACAAAAATAATGTCATAGACACTTGTCTATGACTTTTTTTTATTACTAATAAACAACAATTAATAATACGTGAGTAAAGCCGATTATAATACTGTATTATCATTGATAAAAATGAAAAAAAATATTTGTCATGAATGATTCACTTTTCACTGCGCGACGCATACTCAATATAATTATCTAAATTCGATACATTTTTCTGTGGAATGTTAAAAATCAGGTGATATTATAATAATATAATAGAATAACAAATTAATCATGATGAATCGACATTCATTAATGACACGATAATTTTTTTTTTATACAACTTAGAATGGCAAGCAAGCTGACGGCCCACCTGATGGAAAGTAGTAACCGTCGCTTATAGACATGAGCAGTACCATGGACATAACAGAGTATACTGCTTAGCCCATGATACCCCCCAGGCGTTGCCATTCCTGAGGACTCGGGTATTATTCCTCTGTACCCAGTAAATTCACACCATGTCCCACCCTTCAAACCGGAATACAGCTATGCAAACACAACTGCTTCACGGTTGAAACACGAATGGGACAGAGGTACCCAAGCAATCGACTTTTGTACAAAGTCTCCCTCTGGTAAAGTAAATGCAAGCATTAATAAAAGTACGGCCATGTTGTATATTATATTGTATATTTATATATACACATATACATATTTTTTAATAGCTAATGATAGAATGGTAACCCCGCCTGCGCTATCGGTATATATGATACGCCGGCAGGACATCAGTGAGGGTGTAAGTATCATGCAAAGCGAGCTGCTTTCATCCTCACCTATTAGCCCATCGTGACAAATTTCACTAAAATTAACCACGATGGTTTCCAGGGGAACCATGTGGAGATCGACCTGATAGGGTGTATTGCTGGCAATGGATCATTTAGACCCCATTACTAATAATCCCTTTCCCCTCATATATACATATTGAAGTACTTAATTCGTCATCATCATTTTATCAGCCGTTAATTCTCCACATCTAAACATAGGTCTCGCCTATTAGAGGGATTTTACCATTAGTTGCCACGCTTGGCAAGCACGCTTTATTTAAATAAAATTTAAATAAAATTTTATTTTATTTTAATTAAAAAATAATTTGGTACATTAATGCTATATACAATATATCCTATAATAACACATAAAATATTTTTCGTTCTAATTCCATTAGGCAATCACGTCACATATCTACGGACAATATAAAATGGAACCTTTCATACAATCAACGCGATCACGTGATCGACTTAGTATGAAAAGTATAAAATTATCTATATTTCTGACCTGTAGGGTTACTCTTGAAATAAATTCCAATAGGTCGGTATTGGAATTAAGACGTTTCGCACTGTCGAATTGCAGTACTAGCGACATATTGTTCTGATAGATGCATATAAGTGTTACTTGTCAATGCAAACTATTGTAAACCGATCCCAATGTTTCATGAGAGCAGTATAAAATTATCATTGGCAATAATAATAATAAAACTTTATTATCCAGACTACAATGCGGTCCAATTTTGTTAGTAACAATTTTCTTACAAACTATGTTAGTAAAAAGAAAAACAAATTGATTTAATTAAGCAATTCACCCAGATGTGACCCAGCCGACTAGATCAGCATCTGAATGAAATGCCCAATTATCCCCAATAGATTGTATTGATATTTTTAATTTTTTTATTTATTCATAAACAAAATTTTGTATTTGAATGTCATAGTAGATACAATAATTTCATACAGTACATAAAATATAAATTAAATTAAGCATAATACAAATATTACAGTCATCTCTTAACATAAACAATATATATATTCAAATTTACTATAATTAGAATTCGTCATTTGAGTACAAACACCTTTCTAGCAGTAACGACTTCAACTTTGTCCTAAAGATATTTAAATCATTCAGTAACTTTAATTCCTTAGGCAGCTTATTGAATAACGCCACCGCTTGATTTCGTGGACAATGATATTTATATTAGATTCAAGAGTATACCCGCTGTTCAATAATTAATTATTACTATACAAAGCAGGCACAAGTGTTTATCGTATACGTAATGTTATAATATTCCACTTGACTTCACCACATAATTACCGTCAGTCGGTGTCCTTCTAAACTTCATCGCGCTGTTGAAAAAATAAATGAATGTTTCATTATTTCCTATACTTATGTTTAGTAATTACTATTGTTGTAACAATGAAGCAATGATATGTATCCTTGTTCTATTCGCTCTCTAAAGCGTCATTGCTTTTGTACAATTGTCAATAAGGAATGTGGGGAAGGAATTGTTAGTAATAGAGACTAAGGGCCCAATTGCTAGCAGGTTAACCTTCACGTGGTCCTCCTTGGAAATCATCGTGCCGAATTCTGGGTGTATTTCATCACGACTTGTCTTCTCATTCTCACTTATCATCTCTCGCTGGTCCTCCGTCGGTGTACACCGTTAGCGTGGACGGGGTCTACCATTTCATTGTCATCCATTAAAAAAATAAAGAATGTTTATTTCTGTTCAGCCCTCCTAGAAAAGTGACAATCGAATTCATAAATGGAATCGTAATCGTGAGCGAATCCGTGTGTATTGAGACATCGGATGTTGCTGTCTTATTCGATGTCATAGATTCAACGACTATTCCGTTGTTGGATACGCTTGCCACATATATATATATATATATATATATATATATATATATATATATATATATATATATATATATATATATATATATATATATATATTTTCTTAATTATATATGTACTTGTAATATCTATATATTGGTTAAATAATATTTATATTCGATATTGGTCATGCAATATATATGCAATAATATCGAAATAAAGAATCCGATCAGAGATATATAATATATATATATATATATATATATATATATATATATATATATATATATATATATATATATATATATATATATATATATATATATATATATATATATATATATATATATATATATATATATATATATATATCTAATATATAGTTATCGAAGAAGCACCGACTTTTTTTTTAAATAATAGATCAGCACTTTTTACGTCTAAACTAATGTTAGAAAGAGAACAGATTATGTTGTTTGTAAACTCAAAAAATAATTAACTTATTTTTTTTTCTATTGAAAGCTATATTATCAGCGAGTAACATGAGATATTTATTTATTTCCAAAAAATGCCATGCGAAGCCGGAGCGGACCGCTAGTAAATTATATACTCGAAATTCCATTAAGTGTCAACTATCAACAAGATAAATATTAATCTTTTTAATTGTTATTTTTATATCTGGAGCAAATATTTAATGACATTAATTACGCTCCATAACAGTTAACCCAAAAGTAATTGCTCTGTATTGATAAGGCTGCACATTGTTGACTCTGCCTTATTTCTTGTTATAAAATCTTTGTGTTTCGCAATAAAAAGTATTATTCATTATTTTTAACCTTACACCGTTTTTACAGGATTACCTCCGATTTCTGGTGACGTATCATCGCTTCATATCGTTCTGCCTGTACTGCGTTGGATTCGTGTGGTTCGTACTGTCGCTTGTGAAGCGGTATTACATGCGACAGTTCAGCCTTTTCGCCTGGACCCACGTTGCTCTCCTCATCGTCGTCACCCAGAGCTATCTCATCATACAAAATATATTCGAAGGTGAGTAATGGTAATTTTATAATATAGTGTGTAGGTTGGATAAACTACACAACAAAATAATTCATAAGTTGTTGGTTAGATCCGGCTCGAAGGATCAGAAATATGTGGAGTAAGTTACTCATTCACGCTTATATGGGTGAATTATTTATAAATTGACGTCAATTTACCATTGTAAACTTACCTATTTATTTTTATAGTTATATTCTGCATAAAGTACCAGCATTATTGTATAAGTAAAAAAAAGCATATGAAAAAAAAGGATGACGAAGGTATACGATGTGAAAGTGGAAGAATGCAGGCACCTGGGTAGACCAAAACTGGCATTAGAAATTTTATAAAATTTATTGAAGAAAAATTTTAGTAAGGATAGTGATTTTTAATATTTGGATCTCTGTCTACTCTGAAAGGCCATAGCTTTTAAATTACCTGTAGTTAGGGCTCTGCCGCGAAAATAGATTCAAAATAATCATCGTCGTCTGCCCACAGTAATGCACTAATTGACGTAGAACTCTTTAAAGACTATTTTATACGATTCTAAGCACAGAACTGTATAAAATAGTATGCATTTAAACATTCCCACCAGTCTTTCCCAAATTGTTCTATTCATTTTGCTAGAGATCGCATCACATTATGCTTAGACGCGGTTCTCACTCCAGGATCCGTTTGTATAAACAGTTTTCAGATCAGCGACATTGTTTTTTTTTTCGATTGGGTTCGCGATTGGGAGATGACTTAGATGATGGGAGATGGCTTAAGCGTCTTAGTTGACTTAAACTGCGATTTGATACAGCATAAATCTCTAATAGTTATTTAATTCTTGCACGCGTAGTTTATTTTGATAGTGCTTCGGGTGCTTATTTTTCACAGCAGCAAGAAGATGATATGTATTAATGTGACTTGTTTAGCGACATTGTTACCAGACCATAGCCACTGGGTGGAAGGAATTGTTAGTAATGTGGACTACCAGTCCCATTGCTGGTAATGTACCCCGGCAGGTCGACCTCTACGTGGCCTCCCTTGGAAACCATCGTGCTAAATTCCTGGTGTATTCATCACGATGGGCAACTGATCTGCCTTTTATATCATCCCTTACTGATACCCCGTCAGCGTATACCGTTAGCACGTGTGTGGTTACCATTACATTATCATCCATTAAAAAAAGTCTGTAGTCACTTGTTATTAAAATTATGCGAATAAATATTAAATAAGAAAAAAATAAAAAGTTGCCATTTTTCAGAAGCGCCTCCTATGTATTTTAATTCTATTTGTGTATTACTTTAATAAGTATTTAAAACTAATTTATATAAAAACAGAGCTTTTTATTTATGCTATGATCATAAAATTGTACAATACATTACGTGTTTAATAGTTACATATATCAGACAATACATAAAGTGAACACAATCTGTACACGTAAATAGTACATCGTTATAAGTCCCTCGACGAGTGTGACAATGCTTATCAGTATATTCTTGCCGGCCGTATTTATGTCACAACTACATTGTCACGGGCGAGAAGCCCTTCAAAGCGGTTTCTAACTAGGACAAATATAAATAAAACAGGATTTAAGCGACAGGAGGGCGCGAGAACGTAGACCTAGTTCTTAGTATAAATAAAGAAAATTGGCCAATTATGAATTCCAAACGCATACACAGTGAAATTTATTTTTTTTTTCTTTTAAATTATTATAATTATTAATTGTAAATATCTATTTACTCGTCTTTTAATTATTTAAAAAATGATGCCGGAAAAGTCGTCTTAAATACGGATCTATGGGCATTTTTCGAACGGATATAAATTATTTGTGCAATTAAATTAAATTTGTGGTCATGGTAAATAGAAACATAATGGTTTTTGCTATAAATGTTGTAATGATGTTGTAGAGTAGGCGAATATCTATTATAACCAACTGTTGTTATAACTTCCACACATATATCTTTCTTTTTTCTTTTTATACAACTTCTAATGGCAAACAAGCTAACGACCCACCTGATGGAAAGTGGTAACCGTCGCCTATAGATACGAGCAGTACCATGGACATAACAGAGTATACTGTTTCGCCCATGATACCCTCCATGCGTTGCCATTCCTGAGGACTCGGGTTTTATTCCTCTGTACCCAGTAAATTCACGCTATATCCCATCCTTCAAACCGAAACACAGCCATGCAAACACTTTTGTACAAAGTCTCCCTCTAGTTGACGGTTATGTGTTGCATTTTCACTGCTCATCTGCTGTTTGCGTGAAATTTAATAACTCTTTATTAATAACTCTGTATAATGTCATATAAATATATACATATATATTTGTCATAGGATATATATCTATCATAACTATATCTCTTTAATAACTTTAAATGAACATGATATTTTATTCCCGTCCCAAAATTTTTAAACAGGATATAATATAAAATTCATCAATTTATTACTAAAAACGCCAAATCTAGGTTTTATTTATCCTTTTCATTTTATTGTTATAATACTATACGTTAAATGTGTGTATTATTATACTTTAAAATAAAGTGACCAAACATGCTATGCCTACATTATATGCTATTAACATACATATATATGTAGTTATAATCGTTAAAATAGGTTTATAGGTATTAAATAAATAAGACGATACCGTCTATAAATTTAATATCGCTTGTCGCCTTTGCATAGGCCATATCCTGTTTCTACCCTATGTTACGTAGGGAAGCCGACACGAATAGATTACACATGTTTCTATGTGGCATGTGGCGAATCCGCTAAAAATGTTACGAATTCACATCTGATATATTGCTGTGTGACAACCTGTTAATTAAAGAGATGGTTTAATTTTTTTTTTTATTGATTAACGCACAACGATAAAAAAAGTTGGCTCTAAAGCCGTAAAATAACAATACCTGTTTTGTTGTTTTTTAGTCTAAACTATAAGGTTTCTACGATATCTAATATAAGGTATTGGAGGATATCTTAGTTCAGCCATAGTATTTTAGGCGTGAAAAATGCAAAATTTTCTAGTTTCGAAATAAAATCTTATATCGTCTTTAATAAAGACGTTTTTGCTACATTGAAACAATTTTATCTATACTTAATATTGACACTCGAGACGCCATAAACTTATCTAATCTCTTATCAGCATAAGTCAATTGCGTGGGAAAAATAGTTCTGAAATATAATGCCAAAGACCTCTATTTTTACATACATCTCTTGTTTTAACCATCTTTATAACTTTTCTCATATATTCTGGTTTCGGAGACTTGACTCTTCTCTCCGACAGTCTTCAGTCTATCAGATCATGAAAGGTCTTCCGTCCCGATATTTACATTCTTCTTTTTTGACTTTATATGTCTGTTTTGCGATCTATCCTGCGCAATTTTATTGTGTCGCAATCCCGCGACTTTGTCCACGTGAATTGTTATGTAAAAGATCCAGTGTTTTAAGTTAGGGTTATGACCCATCCGAGTACTAAATTTTATTGTAATCAGGGGGCCTACCATGAAATGACATTCCGAAGTTTCAGACTCAATTTCGTGTTTTCGTTCGTTCGTCACAAATCCTACCATAAAAGTCCAAAGGAATAATATTTTAATGTTTTTAAACGATAAGTATTATGTAATTTTAACATCAAATTCGTGTTTCATTCGCCTCCGAAATTTCGGAAAACATTTCGTAGTAGACCCTCTGTACAGTATTTTTTTGCGTGAAAGAGTAATAAAAATACATCCATACATACATTCCTCGTAAACTTTAGTATTTGTAATGGTAATAGAATGGTTTTAATGACAAGATATCAAATTGTATTTTAAAAAAATAATTTTTCAATACTATATTTTGAAATGCATGCATAATATGAAAAACGATTGGATATGCATAGATTTCATTACACACAGTATCTATTTAGCAATAGCGTGTTTTGTAACTGCCTATTCGCCTTTGCACAGGATGCTATTGTTAATCTATACTTATTAACAAATTGCTAGGCCATTACCTGTTTTTTTTTATATATATACAACTTAGAATGGCAAACAATCTGACGGCCCACCTGATGGAAAGTGGTAACCGTCACCTATATACATGAGCAGTACCATGGACATAACACAGTATTCTTTTTCGCCAATGATACCCCCCATGCGTTGCCATTCCTGAGGACTCAGGTGTTATTCCTCTGCACTCTGTAAATTCACGTCATATCCCATCCTTCAAACCGAAACACAGCCATGCAAACACAACTGATTCACGGTAGAAACACGAATGAGACAGAGGTACCCAAGCAATCGACTTTTATACAAAATCTCCTTCTGGTAGAATGTTACTTTTGAAAAGCTGTTTAATTTAATTAATATAAAAACTTCCTAATAATGATCCTAATGATGATGATATTTAAAAAAAAAAAAAACTTTTTTAATGCTTTATTCCATTCTTGTACATTGTCTTTCTTTATTCGGAACTACCTAGTTATTTGTCGTATTTTCATTATCTTTCCTACACCTTTGTTTGTATTGACTGACGAATTAATGGATGACATTAATCTTTTATTATCAACAAAGAATCAAAATCGTACTCTGATTAAATCGCAGTGAATAAATTGATATCTAACAATAAAACGTAATCCCATCGGGCTGCGTGACGCATTGGTTTATTTTCCAATTAGGTCGGCTTTCCAGAGCCTTCGACATATGAGCTATTTGGTACATAACCGTTTGGAGGTAAAAACATGCACGTCCGAGAGCTGAGTTTTGTGTTTACACAAGAATATTTTTAGAAGCGTTTGATCTTTATCCAGCCAGCTATACAGCTGGAGTGTGTATTATTTAATATTACAAAAGTATTCTTGGATATATCATGGTTACATTGTATTATATTTGAAATGAAACATGTTTAATTCACTCTAGTACTCTAGTGCGTGCCAATTGTTGTTCTAAGTACATTAATTTGAAAATGTAGATGACTGCGTTACTACTATCGTCATATACTCTGTTATGTCCATGGTACTGCTCATGTCTATAGGCGACATGAGCAGTACCATGTCATTTCAGTTTAGTTGTATTTTTTTTTTGTTTGTTATCTCAGAACTCCGTTTGTTGTAAACTGATTTGGAAAATTCTTTTAATTTTATCTAAAACTTATAGATATTTATAGGTCTCATAGAATTTTTAATAGAATCGGTTCAATAGTAGTTTTAAAACAAAATAACTGATTTTTAAGTCGGTTTTTTAGAAATGCAATCTAATTATAATCAAATTAAACTTTATTCAATAATTATATCAATTTTACCAAATAATAATGTATCATTCGATCTAATCACTTCCAGTAATATGCATTCTTGAGTGATTGAACCACGCAATTTATTTAAAAGCGGTCTTAGACAGGCAGGTGATGATTACCTGAATATTGTTGTTTTTTTATTTAAATTTAACCATGTTTTTCATCGGAATAGGTCGCTACAAAACTAATTTGAATTTCTAAATATTTTATGTAACAGAGTTTCACATTGTATGCTAAATAAATGGATGCTTTTAACGAATAAACAGTATTAGCACAGACATTTTTATTTTAAAATAATAATAGTGTTTTTTTTTTTTCAATTAGTACCAACTTATTTCCAGATTTTTTTTTATTTGGTTTATATTTTTTTATACAATTTAGAACGGCAAACAAGCTGACGGCTTACCTGAAAGAAAGTGGTAACCGTCGCCTATAGACATGAGCAGTACTGTTTCGCCCATGATACCCCATGCGTTGCCATTCCTGAGGACTCAGGTGTTATATCTCTGTACCCTGTAAATTTACGCCATATCCCACCCTTCAAACCGAAATACAGCCATGCAAACACAACAGCTTCACGGTAGAAACACGAATGGGACAGAGGTACCTAAGCAATCGACTTTTGTACAAAGTCTCCCTCTGGTATGTGAGTTTATCTTTTCTGTTATAGTTTATGATAGAAAAGGTAAAATAACATATATGAACTCTCTAAATATTACAGATATTGCTCCTCTCTTTTAAAATATATGTTAAATATATAGATCATATGATAAATGTAATTTTAACACTGTTAAGTACTATCTCTTTCTTTAGTACTATTTTTCGGTGTTCTTTTTTGTCTTCGTGTGCTATTAAATATGTGTATGTTGATATATATATATCAACATACATATATATATATATATATATATATATATATATATATATATATATATATATATATATATATATATATATATATATATATATATATATATATATATATATATATATATATATATATATATATATATATATATATATATATATATATATATATATATATATATATATATATATATATATATATATATATATATATTACTTTATACATATTTATTTATTTAACTCTTTATTGCAACATAAATAAAAATATACAATGACAAGTGCATAATTCAAGTGAAATACAGTAACATAAATACAGATTAAAATATACATATAAAATATACATAATAGTACGCCACCTACCTTTTGTCTTTTTTCTCAATCTCCTCTATCCAAGGGAAGTGTAGAAGAAATTGCTTAGCAATAAGGCTGCCTTTTGTATCACTTATCATTGTAGGTTTACTGTGTTTGTTATTTTTATAAATGGTGCAATAAAGTGTAAATAAATAAATCTTACAATCTTGTAACTTACTTTTATTATTAAAATAAATGGTCTCTCAATAATATCGGGGCCGGTTATTATCTTAATGGCGTTAATTTAATGTTTCATACTTGAGACAATATTGTTGATGCCATATTTTATATTGCATTATTATATAATTGTTTACTATAAAATAGTGCGATGCCTTGTTAGTTTTTATTAAACAATTTATAAAAAGAAATGTTAAGGCTTTTCAAAATCGTAACTATTTTTTTCTCTATAACCTTTACGCATGATTCCTTACGGGGAGGAATTATGGGGATGAATCAAAAATCATGGGGATGGATGAACAAAACACGGGGAGGAAGAGAGTCAAATGTATTTACATATATACCTTCACCTTCACTCCGAAGTAAATCCAAAAATTAAAATAAATGCATTATTTAAGTATAATATATAAAATATTTTAATTCTTATTGCTAGATTGTTCCTTTGGACTAGAACAGGATAATCCTACTATTACTAATCTACTTTAGTAGTTTTTTTGTCGTCCCATCAGGGAGAAAAGGACTGTTAGTAATGGGGGTTTAAAAGCCTCATTGCTAACATTTATACCCTATCAGGTCTACCTCCACGTGGTTTACCTTGAAAATTATCATTTTTAATGATTGTTGAACTTGTCACGATATGCCGACAGACAGATTCGTCCTCGCCCGTGATATTTTATCGGTGCCTCGTCAGTATATACGAATGACGCTGGTGGAGCTATCATTCCATTATCACCCCTAAAAAAATCGTGTTATCATACTAGCGGGATACTTGTGAAGGAAAGTAAGCGAGAATGAATTCAGATTAATTAGCCCATCATGACAAATTATTCACGATGATTTCCAGGGGGTTCACGAGAAGATTAACCTGACAGGGTATACTGCTAGCAATGGGGTTACTAAACTCGATTCCATATATATATATATATATATATATATATATATATATATATATATATATATATATATATATATATATATATATATATATATATATATATATATATATATATATATATATATATATATATATATATATAGTCCCTAGCCCTCCCTTCCATTGTTTTTTTTTTATACAACTTAGAATGGCAAACCTGACGGCCCACCTGATGGAAAGTGGTAACCGTCGCCTATAGACATGTGCAGTATCATGGACATAACAGAGTATACTGTTTTGCCCATGATACCCCCCATGCGTTGCCATTCCTGAGGATTCAGGTGTTATTCCTCTGTACCCAGTAAATTCACGCCATATCCCACCCTTCAAACCGAAACACAGCCATGCAAACAACTGCTTCACGGTTGAAACACGAATGGGACAGAGGTACCAAAGCAATCGACTTTTGTACAAAGTCACCCAAACCAAAGTCTTGTTCAGCCAACCAAGTTAATTTCTCATTCCAATGGTTATTTGATTAGAATTAAATTATTTTATTCAATTCCGCTACCATTAGTATGTGTGCGACTGCCAACACTTGAAGATCGATCACCGCTATTACTACCTACCAGTAATATATATTGGACTTCTGTAAGATAACAGACTGTTGCATTTGATTTGATGGATAAAACATTCGTCATCAGTTACTAAAGAAAAGTAAAAGAATCCTAGTTCAGTGAAATACTCTCATTCCAGGTCTGATTTGGTTCATCGTGCCCGTGTCCATGATAATCTGCAATGACGTCATGGCCTACGTGTTTGGTTTCTTCTTCGGGAAAACACCTCTGATCAAGCTGAGCCCCAAGAAAACCTGGGAAGGGTTCATCGGAGGCGGTTTCTCTACAGTTGTCTTCGGTCTTGTTGTAAGTAACTTTATTACAACTTGAAATAGCGAAAAAAGCTGACCGTTGTCTATTAACATAAATGGACCATGGACAATATGGTATATATATATATATATATATATATATATATATATATATATATATATATATATATATATACTTAATATCTGTTTTAAAAGTGAATGTGCAAAATCATTGAAATTAATATATTTTAATATATTATCTATGTTTAATATGTATGTATTAAAAAAAATTTGTACCCATAGTACAAGCTCTGCTTTATTTAACACTAGATGGCGCTGTGTAAAATATTCATTCGGTAAAACATTGATGCTCCTTTCCACTTTGGGTTTGCTGGAAAAAAATCGTTTAGAGTTAAGCTCGCTTTTGTACATTTACTTACACCTGCCATATTTTTATGTATTATCCGTGTGTACAATAAAGTGTAGATAAATAAAAAAATAAATATATAAAATCATAAAATATATAGTTATTTAAAAATGCTTGTATTATATTATATTGTAAAATCTTTATTATACATACTTTAAATTAGGCACATTAAAAAGATTTAATATACAATTGCGGACTTATCCCTTAGAGGTGAGGTATCTTTGAGAAGCTGAAAAAAAAAACTATAGAATATTTGAGGGTAAAAGCTGTACAGCTAAAAATAAGATAATTAAGTTTACTAGAAAAATATTATTATTATTAATTTCCAGCTGTCCTACCTGATGTCACAATACCCGTACCTGGTGTGCCCGATCGAGTACTCGGAATCTCTCGGCCGCATGACCATGGACTGCGAACCGTCACTGCTGTTCCGTCTCCAAGAATACACGCCGCCCCAGTTCGTGCAGCCGGTCATGAAAGTCGTAAGTTCTATTCTTTATTTATTTACACTTTACAGAGGGAGACTTTGTACAAAAGTCGATTGCTTGGGTACCTCTGTCCCATTCGTGTTTCTACCGTAAAGTAGTTGTGGTGTATGGCTGTGTTTCGGTTTGAGGGATGGGATATGGCGTGAATTTACAGGGTACAAAGGAATAACATCTGAGTCCTCAGGAATGACAACGCATGGGGGTATCATGGGCGAAAAAGTATACTCTCACCTAATGGCTTATGTATATTATAAGCCATGTGGTAATGATTATCTAGACTCGAAACAATTTTTTTTAATAATAATAATATTTTTATTTAAGAAAGATATAGTTGCATAAGGTACAATTTACAATTTTTACAATTTATATACAACGAGGAAATATCTGCATTACCATCAGTCCCCAAACTAGGCCAGACCTGTATCTTGGATGAGTGCGATTACCTATTTATTAGTACACTTTATTTACCAAAAAATAAAATAAATAAATAAATAAGGAAAACTATGTAAAATGCTGAGTACGTGTGTGCGTGCGTGCGTGTGCGTGTGCGTGTGCGTGTGTGTGTGTACACGTACGTTTTTGTTACGTATTTTCTTGCTTCCCCAATTGCGTTTCAGTTTAATATTAAAAGAACTCGAATACTTAATCACTGTCCTTTATTTAATCAACTGACGTGAAATACAAAAAGTGTCAGACAAGAGATGTCATAAAACAAACGTCAAAAATGACAATACTAGGGATCGTTTACGAAGCGCATGAACGTTCGTAAACGATCCTTTTTTAAACTACATACTTACAACTACAATTTACGACAGTTTTGACGTTTTTTTTTTTTCAGTTTGGAATGGAGAAACTCAACATGTACCCGTTTATGATTCACTCGCTCGCTTTGAGCATATTCAGCTCAGTCATCGGACCTTTCGGCGGCTTCTTTGCATCTGGATTCAAACGGGCTTTTAAGATTAAGGTGAGTTAATAATATCAATAATAAAAAAATAATAAAATCACGAGTAAAATCCCTAATTAAATTATATAATGAATTGATTGTAATTTGAAAGCATTTGTCAACTGGTGTCGTTATGTTGATTTTATTGATTATATTGTGATATATTCGAGGTATACATTTTGACAGTTCTTGTGACCCTTTTGTTCATGTTTGGCAGGACTTCGGCGATGTGATCCCCGGCCACGGCGGCATCATGGACCGTTTCGACTGCCAGTTCCTGATGGCCACCTTCGTCAACGTCTACATCACCAGTTTCATAAGGACAGCCACTCCGCAGAAATTACTGCAACAGGTAAACATTCCATATATAGAAAGTCCTATGAATATTTTTTATGGTATTTAAAATGGCAAACAAGATGACTTAAACCATTGTAAAAAATGGTAACCGTCGCCTATAGACATGAACTGCACCGTGGACATTACAAAATACATACTATGTTACACACGGTATATCTCGTGCATTGCCATTCCTGAGGACTGAGGTTTTTTTTTATTGGATGAAAATGGAGTGTTAACCCCGCCTGCGCTAATGGAATACACTGGCGGGGCACCAGTGAAGGGTGATCGATGAGGATGAAAACAGGCTAGTTAGCCCATCATGATGAATTCATCAGAAATTAATCACGATAGTTTCCAGGGAGAACCGCGAGGAGGTCGACCTGGTTGGGTATATTGCTAGCAATGGTATTCTCAATCTCCATTACTTAACAATTTCACCATATTGCCATATCCCCTTCAAACTCCATACATTTTATATTGTTATTTGTAGTATAGATTGATCTATAATTGACTAATGTATTGTGTAAATACATTTTAATTATTCTAGATATAAGTTGTTAATTGCAGTACAGTGCCGACATAGAATGTTCCACCCTTTCCTTTTCCGTGTGTGTCGTAAGAAGCGACTAAAACAATGTAATCGGTTGAGGGATGGGCAACAACGTTTGTTGCCAAAAACCTATTTGTGGTTACCGACCCGTTTGTCAACTACTGGCAAAATCCTTTTTACGGGGAGATAGATAGATAGATAAATACTCTTTATTGTTTCCTCCAAAAGATTACAATAGTGAACTTATTATAAATATAAATAATTACAAGAAATAATCACAATGAGAAAGCAGTTGTGTTTGCATGGCTGTGTTTCAGTTTGAAGGGTGGGATACGACGTGAATTTACTGGGTACAGACCAATAATACCTTAGTCCTCAGGAATGGCAACGCATAGGGGGTATCATGGGCGAAACAGTATATTCTGTTATGTCCATGGTACTGCTCATGTCTATAGGCGACGGTTACCACTTTCCATCAGGTGGGCCATCAGCTTGTTTGCCATTCTAAGTTGTATAAAATAAAAAAAGAAACCTTATTGCTCTTTTACGAAACTTGCACATTCATGCATAAATTAAACTTAATATCTCCCATTTCAGGTCTACAATCTCAAACCGGAACAGCAGTTGCAACTCTTCTACGCACTCAAGGAGTCTCTCGAGAACAGGAATATCCTCAACATGGTACCTTAGACGCGTTAAACGAACACAAGGTAACCTATTTACTCATAGACAATTGACTACATACCTAATGTGTGAGTTCACACTTGACTGATAAACCGCCGCGACGCAGTGACTACGGAATTGTCTACCGTTTCTCGATGCGGTCAGTGCCAAGTATATTGAACTTCCTTTTGTAAATCTGGTTGTATTTTTAAGATGTTGACCACCGGTGGACTGTTTATGGGCGTTACATCCCGAATTATGACGACGAATGGGTATTAGCAGTGCATATTACGTTGTTAACGTGCCAACGCCGCGAATTATTAGTCAGATTTGATACAATACAGAAAGAGATAATATTATAGGGAATCGCTTTGAGATAGAGTGAGATGCAAACAGTATTTACATGTTAGAAACAACAGAACAATAAGACTTGCACCATAGTGTAAAGTAAATAATAATAATAATACAAATAAATGATTACTTGTGATGGTCGAATTTATATGGCGTCAGTGTGTCAGCAGCGTTAGATATAATAACAAATATACAGGGTGTCAATTGGAATTGGGGAATTTTTGATGATTTGTATGAGTGATAGGGAGTGTAATATTTTAGCCCAAAACCTTAGTCCACCGCTGGCGTCGCCATAGTGATATGAAAATTAACGTAATATATACAATAATATGATCTCTGAAACATGACGATATAGCCGTCGACTGTTGTAGCGGATAGCGTTTTGTCCGTCAAGTGTGGTGGTATTCTAACGTATTATAACATATCGTTTGTACAATGCTCGAGAACAAATAATTCAATAATTATAAAATATAATAGACATTACTAAGTTGCTTTTATCATCATCATCATCATCATCATCATCAACATCATGTTATCAGTCATTAACTGTCCACTGCTGATAATAGATATCTCCCATAAGGGATGTTTTGCCAATAGTTGCTACACTTGGTAACTGCAGTTAGGCTTTGGTGATGTTTAAGAACTCTGCTGCCGATCCCTCGACAATTGAGTTCTTTTTGTCGCCTCTTATGAGACCCACAGGAAAGGAAAAGGTAGTCCATTCTATAGCTGGACCACACCGCAACTTAGTTGTTTTATTATTAATTAAATATTTATAATTTACTTCGCAGGATAGTAAAATTAACCTCTCCATATAATTGCATACGTTTTATTGTATTATATCGTAACGGTACAATCGTACGATATCGTGATAAGAGGAGTCATTTGGTAAATGAAAACGATTAAGCAGTCAATTGTTATTTTTGTTATTGTTTATTTTTCTCGAGTATTGTATATAAATGAATTAATAAAATGTTCTAGTCCTATGTAAAATCATTTGCCCCGATATATTAATATTGTGTTACGTCCATTAAAATATTGTTATAATACCTCCTAATAAGCGAATTACAAAACAAGAAAATAACAAACCCACCAAAGAATTATTCGAGGCAAATGATCCGTACTGATATATATCGATACGATATAGAATACAATTATGATTTATAAATCATCCCAAGAAATATCGGAATGTAGTTTAATTTTATGTTTATAATAAACGTATTAAAATAGTGATTTAAATAATATTAAGGCTATCGCGCGGGTAATTGATGTATTGTTATTCTTGTATTGTTGGTTGTAATTCATATAATACTTATGGCAATATATTTCTGTATGACTAATAGTTATCCAATTGAAATATCGATATTATTGATTGTAAAAATCTGATAACGAACCTGTGCGTATGCCTTTACATTTATAAAAAATACGATCAAAAACAAATATTTATTTAAATAAATACTAGCAAATTAACTAAACTACTGTTAATAATTAAATAAACTACTGTTATCGTCTTATTCATATAAACGTAAAACCTCCAATAGTAGACCTGTTTAAGAAAATTATTGTCTCTTTTTTTTTCAAATTATAAACGGGCACATGTCCTCGCGGCAACGCACGGCGACGCGCGATCGTTGCGTTGACATGACAGAAGCAAATCGATAGATTGTGTAGAAGCGCGATAACCGCACGATATCGCGCGTTCTTGTAGGGTTGAACGAATTTAGAAGTTAGTAGGTAGGAGTTAGGTATATATATGGTGCCGTGCGGGGCAATCGTTCGCGCGGTCGTTTGTGTCGGCCCTAAGAAATTTGTTTCAGATTTCTAAAATAGGTTTATGTGTTGAATGTTTAACGTTTTTGTTAATTATAAAATTAATAATTACGGATCTTGAGAATTACAAATTATAAGTCCTCAGTGTACTCTGTGACACAGAATATATTTCGAATTAATATTAAGTATTTTATTTAGTACTCGTAATTGTAATGTTTAGGTAATAAGATGCGTTTAGTTTCCTCGAATGTTTTTAGTAATATGTCAAAAACTTGTACTGCTTTAATGCGCAGCCTGTGATGACTGGGCGTAGAATATGTATTAAATAGTTTTAAAAAAATAAAGCTTTCCAAATATATCACGCTGACAGCAACATCTGGTATAGATTATGGAATTTCTGTTAAAATAGCTGCTTTCCATTTTTAAACGCCGACTGATTAAAAAGTGATTTTTAAAAAGAAAATTATGGTTTTCTCGAATAAAACAAGATTGTGGTTGAGTCATAAAATAGTAAAAAGTATAGCTTCCAAGCATTTAATAAATGTATATTATTATTGCCTAGAATTTTTAGGCTTGCGATGTGATTTTTTTTATCTTTTTTTTTTTTAATTGTGTATGTATTAGGCATTTATTTCATATTATTGTGATGCGATTCTTTTTTATGACTACATTCTTATTCACAAAGAGCGAATTCGAATAGTAATAGAATTTGTGGCTAGTTAATATGTTTATTTGAATTTTTAATCATTTATATCGAAATTGTATTAAATATTTAGGATATATAATATAATATTATTATATTTTTATCGACACTGCATTTGGTTGCATTGCACTATAGTTAATCGGTTATGTTAAAATAGATACTCATAGATTGAGTAAGGTTTTGGGTTTAAGGTTGGGGGTGAAGGGAAATTAGGTAAATAATTGTTTACCATAGATAGAAATAACATATAGTTGCCACGTAGCAAAATTTTTAAAATAAACAATAACGTAAAAAGAGAATGCCATAGAAATGTTATCAGCGTATGCATTGTGAAATAGTAATAGTATGACGTCACTGAATAAACGAACGAACAAAAAATGCACTTTCTTATTCGCGATATATAAAAGTGACGTACCTATCTAATTTGAACGGGTAATACAAACAATGCTTAAGACGTGGAAAATAACTTGAATCACCCAAAAATAAAAGTATGCACCAGGCAAAAGTAAGACAAAAAGTAGTTCCGATCTTGCTCACACTTCCGTGTATTGCTTATAATGCTGTCTCGTTCTAACTAATCAATACTGCGGGTACTATAATAAATCTATGAATAATAATATTAACACAGACTTACTTGACTCAAAGAAGCTTAAATATATCGTTAAATAAAACACTATTCTATCTGATATTGTAGTCGTGAGCGTGTTTTTTTTTTTTTTTTATTTAAAAGCTTTCACTCCCAACTATATGTTGGAACGGAATGGGTATAACAATTCAAAATTCAGTGACAATTGTTCTGAAACTATACAGCCTTTCGTGATTTTTCCGCTAGAATATTATTTTGACGTATTCTTACGTTACTGCCTTAAAACGCTGTCTTCAAATGGCGTGAGCCTAAATAATTGTTTAATTTTAAACAAGTATATAAATTCTGCATTCCGAATTCCCGATCTTCCTCAATGAAGAATTAGGCATCATCTCTCGTTTCGTTCACTTATGGGTTTCGACTAAGCTTGTACACGATATGTTCTCATATTATTATTTCACTTGGATCTTTCGTTTAGTTATAATTATGTATTCGTTAAGTTTGGTGATGATTTATTGTGATTATAAGTTGTTATATCTCACGTTAAGTTTGCGCTTTGCGTTTAATATTTACACGTTCGCTAGTTGCGTTTAGTTTTTTTTTTTTTTTTCTTTAATAGCAAATTACGTATCTGATGTTTTGTTTACAGTAGTACGTATTTAATAATAATGTAGTCATTTAACTATAATATAGTAAATGTATAGTTACTATGTTATAGTTAAATTATATAATGTGGATATATAATTTAACTATGCTATATTAACCTATTATACAAGGTGGCCCATAAGTCCTTAGTAATGAAAAAAATTAATTAAAATAAAACTAATTACACTATGAATAATATTTTTATTTGTAAATATAGCTAGAAAAACGGGAATTATTTTTTGTAAATAACGTCGTCCAAATGTAATCCGTTACAGTCACGGCTTGCAAACGCCTTCTGAAATTGTCGATGAACGCCTTCTGAAATTGCCATTTCTCTACGGATGTTTTCTTTTAGGTCATTAATTGACCGCGGGTTAGAGTCGTACACTTTAGCCTTAAGGCTAAAGTAACTTAAAGTAACGTAAAGTACCTTAAGGTAGCCCCACAGAAAAAAATCCATTGGAGTCAGATCCGGGCTACGTGGTGGCCAGGAAATGTCTCCTCTCTTAGAGATAACTTTGTTTGGAAAAAGTTGACGGATAACGGGCATAGCAGTATTGGAGGTGTGGGAAGTTGCTCCATCCTGTTGAAACCATGTTCGGGCATTAAAGCCTGGAAAGTTTTGCAATTTTTGTGTGAAAAACTCCTCGATCATGGCCACATATCGCTCCGAAATAACAGTAACAGCACGCCCTCTGCCGTCCTCAAAAAAGTAAGGCCCTATGATGCCATGGGCTGACATAGCGGCCCAAACTGTAACTTTAGGGCTATGTAAGGGCTTCTGGTGCTTAAGTTTTGGATTAATCGGGCTCCAATAGCGGCAATTTTGTTTACTAACATGTCCGTTAATGTGGAAGTGTGCCTCATCAGAGAACATTATGTTATTGAAGTAAACCGATTAAACATTTCATTAGCATAATTCACTCTCTGAATAGCATCAGTTTCTTTTAATTCTTGCACCAACTGAATTTTGTAAGGGTGCATAAGTAAATCTTTCTTCAAAATCCGTTGTAACGATGTCCTGGATACGTTTAATGCACTGGAACGCTTACGAGTTGACTGTGTACGATTTTCACGAATAGATTGTGCCACTGTGTCGATGTTTTGTTCCGTACGTGATGTCCTTGGGCGACCCAACCGCGGTTTATCTAACGTCGAACCGGTCTCCTCGAACTTAGCAACCCAATTCTTAATCGTTTGGAGAGCTGGGGTGTCATCAAAGTTGTGTAAACCTTTGTGTTCTCGAAATTTACGCCTCGCAACGGTTGCCGAATTGTTGTTTTGATAAAACTCGCGCACACAAAACGCACGGTCCGCTCCGGTGAAACGCTCCATCGTGACTAAATTCCCAGAAACCGAAGTTACTGCTCCCGCTTCCCCTGCACCGCTCACGCGCGCTGTTTTCGTTTAATTCAAATTTTACTTTTCTAAGGACTTTTGGGCCACCTGTACAACAGATTGGTAAACGTTCAGTTTACAGGTTCTATCGAAATAGATATAATAGTAATAATCCTACTATTATATCTTATATGTAAAATTGTATATTAAAAATTATTTCAGTTTAGAGGATTTATAAATATTTTTATTATTTGATTTCAACAATTCACATATCAAGCTGATGTTATAAGTATTGCTGAAAGAAACAAATAACTCTGAAAATATACAAATATATATATTTAGATATGTGTAATTAAACGTCTAAAATGGCCACTTTGAAATAGAATCATTCATATTGGTTAGTTGCAATACAGATATAAAACTGTCAGTTTTCTTGAAATAAACTGGGTAGAGCCCTACATTTTTCTGTCTCAAGACGAAAAATAACTTTCAATCCAAATAATGTTAAACCATGAGTTATAATTTTAGTTTATTTCGTTTAGTGATCACGTCCTCTAGACAAGGTACTAACGAATCTATCAATAGTATCGTTTCGGTCAACGCTCATACAAGAAAGAGCAAGACAGCGCATATCACCGTCTCATTCTAGCTCATGGGCTTGATAGCGATAACGATTCTCTTTATAGATTAGCTTGTATATTGTCTAAGAGGGCCCAGATTCTTTTTCTACACATGTTTTTTGTATGAACATATTATAACAGGGAATTATATTAATATATATACAATCTCCTAATAACGATTAACAAATACATTGCTTATATTATTAAACGATAATAATAGTTATTGTTTTGAGTATTATTTCTCAGTAATTTATAATACATAAAATACTTTACAAAAATTATAAAAGTGTAGTGTATATAAATTGTGCTTTTCGTAGGAACAATGTCTGTAAATGTAAATCTTATTTTGTGTAAAATTTACATTTATAGATTATAGCGTTGATTGGAATACGTACAGTCAGAATCAAAATAATAATTCATTACAGTATTGATAAAATAATAATAAAAAATATACATAGAAAAGTAGTTTCATATTGCGACGTGTATGAAGTGTCTATAATGTTTATAAAGTAAAAAAAAATCTACTTTCAGACAGCAAGTACTTTAATTGGTACTTGTATTTAAAACAGAGTTTAGGAAACTTTAAATCTCGTAGGCATTGAAAAAAAAATACAATAATTTGTAAGTGCGCTATAGGGGTACCTAATAAATATTTTGATTCTGACTGTATTTTGATATAATAGTGATAAATCAGTGTTAAGCTGTTGTAAATGTACTACACTGTGTCACTGGTTGTTGCCAGCGTAAATTAAATTAGATGTTTATTTGACGATGGATCGTTGTCGTCCTTAGGGTGAGTATAGACAGCGATCATTCGCGTGTAATGTTACGTTTTCGACTGATTTTAAAGAAGCAGGTTCTCAATTCATTTTTTTTTTTTGTCTGAAAGGGATTTACTTACAGTTTGGTCCTGTAGAAATTTTACCAAAATCCGTTCAGTAGTTAATTTAATTTTGAAACTAAAATTAACAATTGTAAAATGAAAATAACTGAATTTGATTGACTCTACGGTAACCGCTTACAGTCAGGTGGGTGGTAAAAAAGTGGTATAAAAAATTGCCACATTTTTTATATCAAAATCCGTTCAGTAATTAATTTAGTTAGTTTTGAAACTAAAATTAACAATTGTAAAATGAAAATAACTGAATTTGATTGACTCTACGGTAACCGCTTACAGTCCAGGTGGGTGGTAAAAAAGTGGTATAAAAAATTGCCACAATTTTTTATTGTTTGTTCAACGCAATCTTATAAAGTATTCATTGAGGCTGTTCATTTGTAATGTTGTATAAATTATAATATTGGAGTTATACACACACACACACACACACACGTAACATTACACGCGAATGATTCCGATGAATATAATTAAAGTAGTAGAGTAAAACAAAAACAATCTAATATGTAACTAAGAATTTCAACAATAAATCTCCTCCGTTATATGGTTTACAGTGTGTAAAAATAAGAACGCTTACGCTTGCATTTTTACATTACAATTGTAAAAATAAAAACGAAATAATTGTGAGTAAATTTATATGAAATTGAGCGTTTGTTTAATGAGCAAGATATTTGTGAGGTCTGTTCGATGGTCTACCAAAACTTGACATATTAAATTTTTTAAGCGATGTATGTGCAAGGCAGTTAAAATATACGGTTCGTCGAATGCTTGCAACCTTTATTGACATGCAAAGATCTTATTTTTCATTTCACGTAAAAAAATATAGCTTTCATATTTATATCTAACAAAAAACTTTTTTTTTATGCACCTTAGAATGGCAAACAAACTGATGACCTATCTGACGTAAAGTGGTAACCGTCGCCTATAGATATGAGCAGTACCATAGACATAACAGAGTATTTTCTGTTTCGTCCATATTACCCCCCTTGCATTGCTATTCCTGAGGTGTTATTTCTCTGTAGCCTGTAAATTCACTGCCATATCCCACCCTTCAAATCGAAACACAACCATGCAAACAACTGCTTCAAGGTAGAAACACGAATGTGTCAGAGGTGCCCAAGCAAACGACTTTTGTACAAAGTCTCCCTCTGGTAAAGACTAAAAAACCTGTTAAGGATAGTCCTGACCAGATCATGTTGTTGACCAAATAATTTTATCGGATGCCTTTATTATATTGAATATTTATTTGCCATAGGACAAAACCATTGACGTTTATAATATTGTATAATATATAAGTTTATTTCCCGTTAGAATTTTTTATGAAATGTCTAGTTGTATGAATAAAATGTGTAAATGAGAAAAAAGTGTAAAAAATAACGATATACATTCCAAACCGCAAATTGACTTTCGATGCTATCGAATAGGGATCAAATCGAATAGAAGTTATCATTATAGTATTTAATGTTCATTCGATGTAAATGTGATTTGATTTCTCTAGTGAGGCCCCTAGTCGATATTTTTTTTTTGTATTCGAATATTTTATTATTTGTTTAAAAAACAATCGAATCCTGACTCGAGTCCGATGAGTAGGACAAGTACGGTTACTCGTACTCGAATAACCGAAATTTCGGGCCAA